GAAGACAGTATTAGCCCTTATCGGCACCAAATGACTTCAATACAGATGATGAGAAAAGTTCAAGCTTTACAGTTTTACCTTAAAATTCCAACAACTTCATCTGTTACGGAAGCATTTGCTGAAGGTAGGTGTCATTTTGCGTTCTAAATTCTTAAAACGATTCTGCGTTCGTTCTCCATATACCAAATTTTTATTCTGTAGGTTCACTGAAACTCCTCTGATCACTTTAATTCACGAGATAACATAGCATCCAACCACAAGTAACACTATGCGAAAGTTGCTGACAATCTGCAGTATCACTTGCAACTGCAAAATAAGAAAGATAAAAAAGTACACACGTCTGAGAGTGCTTTTATTATTTGATTTTAGGGCATCTGTTATTTTTCGAAGTTGGTTTTTTTTTTTCGGAGTGGGATAATTTAGATAGAAGTCTTTTATTTTATACCTTTCTTTACTCTTCCCTTTAAAAAAATCATAATAAAATGTAAAATTATTATTTTACAAGGACTAAATTCGGACCCTAATTTGGAACCATACTGGTTCAAACTATGCAAGTGTGTTTGCACCTTATTGAGTGGAAAGTTAGAATTGCACAAGGTGACAAAATTACTAATATGATAAAAATTTCTGAGATAATTTTGTTTCCTTTGTGTTCAAACAGATTTTTTTTATTCTAAAATCAAAGAATAAAAATAAAACTAAGCAACAACTTGGTGTTTGGCATAGATTTTATTCTGAGAGCAAACAAGTACAGATACCTCGTTATCAGAAGCAAAGAAATCTGCAATGAAGTTTTGGCATAGATTTTAATCTATTTCGAGGGTAAAGAAGTACAGATCCCTTGTTATCAGGAGCAAAGAAATCTGCAATGAAGTTTTGGCATAGATTTTAATCTATTTCGAGGGTAAAGAAGTACAGATCCCTCGTTATCAGGAGCAAAGAAATCTGCAATGAAGAACTCACTGACTGACTGATCTGGTATTGCCGGAATACCACACAATGTGCAGTTTCTCCGGCTCACTCAAAATAATGCCCATGGGCTCATCGTGTGGGTCTGTCCGAGCGTAGTACTCCAAAGGAGAGTCGAAGGGAAGTAAAGAGAGAGCCAAGCACCACAGGCGAAGATCAAAAGTTCTAAAATTCTCTGTTCATGCGCAGAGAAACAGTCCTGCTGGCGACAAGAATATAGTTACAATATAGAGGTAAGATATATGGTATTGTAAAATATAAAGAATGAATGGAATGAAGGACTTACACTCTGTATTATGACCGAGCTAGGTGCAACGTTGCCGGCCCCTGAAATAAAGCCCGAAGGCACGTGACGTAATGAGGACTGGACCATGGACCTTGCACTGTACGTGGGGAGAATCTCAGAAGAGGAATCGGAGAAAAATGAAAAATGAGGGTGACCTTAAAGGACGAAAAGCCAAAAAGTGAATCAGACAGATGACTCAGTGCCTGACGAGAGTTGAGAAGAATAACCACAGGTTATGCAATGATCAAGTAGAATACAATACAAAAATACGAAAAATAATGAACCCCAAAGCAGTAAAGGGAATGAGAAGGTAGCGCCATCTGTCGACAAGAATAGTAACAAAAACTGTAAAACTAACTAAATAGGATTCAAAAGCGTTAGGAAGGACTGGAATTATTTAAGAAATAATCTTTCCATCTCTGGTTTAGTAATGCAGAAGACACTTCCGCTATTTTTAGTGGTAATAAAGAAAATTCATACTAGATTTTATGTGCTATTAATTCGATTCATCCAGCTTTCCAATTCAGTTTTGAAATTGAATCTGACAATACCCTTCCCTTCCTTAATATTCTTCGCAATGAATCTGATTTGAGCATTACTGTTTAATCCTTTTATCTTTGTTTGCCTCCTCATGCTAAGTCGTGTCACTCGACTAAGCAAAAAATGGCTTTTTTTTTTTTTTTTTTTTTTTTTTTTGTCTAGTATGTCTTTCGCGCTTTCGAACTTTGTTCCTCAGAACCTCTTCTTGCTAATGAACTCATTTCAATTATTTGAAATCATTTCCCATCAACGGAGGATTTCCTCCCGTCGTCATTGATAAATCCTTTAAAAAAATTTCATCTTGCTCTCAAAGAAGACATTCTGCTGTTAAAAATAACATTAATAACCGTGTTTTGCTTGCATTTCTTTTTGTTTCTGTCAGTCACAAAATTGCACGGATTCTCCAAAAGTTCAATTTTCAAGTCCTTTTCTCGCCTATCTATAAAATTCATGTTTAGGTTCTTAAAAATTCTATTCCTGGCTTTAATTCGTGGGGAATTTATAGCATATCGTCTCACAGTGTGGTTTGAAATACATCAGTCAAACTAAAAGAGCGTTGAAACTTCTTATCTAGGAACATGAATCACATGTCATGAAATTAACAAGTACTTGATAGTGTTTCAAAATATTCTAAGATCTATAAATCGACATCAATCACTTTTTAAATGTAACTTTTAATATGTACAATATTTACAGATCATAGATCAAACATGGTGGTTCAGTTGACAAATAAATCTATATGCTTTCATAATCGAAAATCGAAATCAAATAGGAACCGAAGAGTTCCTGATCAAATAGTGTGCGAACCATCAGACATCCATCTATCGAACTGCCGGTGGAGAGTCTATGGAAATTCAGAAGGCAAGTCGCGTCTCGTTAACACGCAACGCTAGCGCCATCTATCAATTAATCAAAATAATTTCCACACACTCCCCACCTGAACTCTGTCAAGAGTTCATATCAATCTAACAAGAATCAAATTTATAGCAATAAGTATTTTAACATATAATTATAAAACAATTGATAAGTATATTAAATGAATAGAAAATATATTCAAACTATAATCACTAAATTCTAAAAAAGGTATGTTATCATCAAATACAATTTGACACTACTTTAGTAAATCTAAACTATTCTTAATCTAAGCATATGAAATTAAACTAGTAAAATAAACAATTGCATAAAAACATATTCAATCTTATTCATATTATTAAACAATAAAAAAAATGTTTTTAAAGTTCCAAAGGATATAATAATTGAACTGGTCGTTTTATTATTGTTCCATCAGCAGTTTTTAGTTCACAAGAACGAACTTTGTTGTCACGACCACGAAAAACGTTTATCACTCTACCACAATTCCACAAAAGTTTGCACTTATTGTTGCCTTCAATTAATACAAGATCATCAACTTTTAGATCATCATAAACGTTAGGATTTTTTAATTGATGAGCTGTCCGAAGATCCATCAAATATGTTTTTTTCCATTTAGTCCACAATTGCCTAACCATTAAATCTTGATAAATCTTTCTTTTAGTCAGAGAGAACTTGGTAGAGCCATCTTTAACAATGGAATTAAATGTTTTTAAAGTTGGTCATTGTACACATATGTCAAAGGACGAGAATTCAAACAGCTTCCACTTGTGCTAAAACTGTTGACAATTCTTCAAACGTTAGTAAAGCTTTACCGAGAATTTTTCGTAAGCACGCTTTCACTGATTTTACTAATCTCTCTTAGAAGCCTCCCCACCAAGCCCCTCGTTCTATTATAAACTTCCAACTGATTCTTGTTGTTTGACTTCTGAATTAATGGAATTAAAGTTGATAGATAATGTAGAATCTTTGTTTCCAAAAATCAAAAAATTGGCTTCAGTGGCAACGGTTCCTTGTGGTCATTGTACACATATGTCAAAGGACGAGAATTCAAAACAGCTTCCACTTGTGCTAAAACTGTTGACAATTCTTCAAACGTTAGTAAAGCTTTACTCGACAATTTTCGTAAGCACGCTTTCACTGATTTTACTAATCTCTCTTAGAAGCCTCCCCACCAAGCCCCTCGTTCTATTATAAACTTCCAACTGATTCTTTCATTCGACAGAAAATCTTGGAATTTTCTCATTCGACAATAGTTTAGAGAAATGTTTCGAGTTCTTTTTTTCCCTTTTTAAAAGTTTTTCGCGTTGTCCGAATAAATTACTCGACAATTGCCTCTCCTAGATGTGAATCTTTTGAATGCCATCAAGAAAGAATCTGTGGGATTGACCGAATTGAGAGATTCGGTACAAGTTCCAGATATGTATGGCTCTAGTGAATAGCGAACATGTAAATAATGTTACATAGGCTTTTTGACTTCCTTCGATGTTTTTTACGTAAATCGGTCCAGAAAATCTATGCTAGATACGTAGAATGGTGGTGTCTCATTGATTCTGTCTTCTGGAAGTTGAGAAGTGGTCTGGTCAGCAGATTTCAATGAATATCTTTTACAAATAAGACACTTGTTTATTATTTTCTTTTCTTGATAAATTGACGTCCTTTTGGGATCCAAAAGCGACTTCGAATTTCAGCTAAGGTCGTTGCTATTGCTACTCCTCCATGCATCATTTTAACATGTGCACTTTCTACTATCAAATTTGTTAGCCAGGAGTCTCTTGAAAGAATTGCCGGAGTTTTTTCATCATGTGACAAACTAGAATGTTCTAATCTTCCACCTGCTCTCAGTATCCCGTTCTGGTCTAAAAATGGGTTAAAAAGTTATAAAGGATGATTTCTTTTCGACTTTATTCGCTCTCTTCAGAGACTTGATTTCTTTGGAATAAAAACGTTCTTGTTCAGATCGAAATCCAATAATTTTCGGCATCTACTATTTCTTCAGTCGTTTAATGGACCTGTCCAAATGGTTTGTTTTCCTTAATTTTACCAATGAATCGTTTCATCCAACCAGTTATTCTCAACAATTTTCCTTAAATTACTATATTTTGAGATGTCTATTAATCCTTTCTTCAACTGCTGTGCATACAAATTCATAAATATCATTAATATTTTTGCGGTATTCTAATTCTTCTCAGTGACAGGTTTCTCTTCATTCTGTCGATTGTTGAAACAAATTAACAGTATATTTAGTTTTACTTCATCTTTAAAGAACAAGTGATGTGAATGCCTGGTATTCTGAATTTTAAATCCAGATGATTGAAGTTCTACTGTGAGAATAGTTTTCACACATATTTCAGCTCTATTCTAATCCATTCTTTTACCAATTTTAGATATATTCCTACTTAGTTCTAAAGCTGGTGGTGTAGGTTTGAACTTAATAGGAGCATCACGCATTCTTTTATATGACATTGACTGGAACCCTGCAAATGATCTTCAGGCAATGTCACGCATTTGGAGAGATGGTCAGAAGCATTCTGTTTATGTTTATAGATTACTTACAACAGTAAGTGATGAAAACAATTTCTTCTATTTTAATTCTTTACACTGATATGTTGCTTATGCGTTTTTGGTTTCCTTGTGCTTTTTTTAGGGTACAATTGAAGAAAAAATTTATCAAAGGCAGGTATCTAAGCAGTGTTTGAGTGGGACTGTTCTTAATCCATCATCTGCAGAAAAATTTAAATTTTCTCAAAATGAGTTAAAGGTATCATTTTTACTCACATAAAAATAATTAAATACTATCAACATATGAGATTATTACATGATTTAGAAGTATAAAATAAGAATATTTTAAATTTCTACAAATTAGATATTAAAATGAACAACTCTATAATCAGCAGCATTTTTTATCTGAATTTCAATCTTTATCCCCCCCATACACAAAAATTACTTTTTTTTTTTTTCCTTTTTGTGCTGACATTATTTTCTTTGTATGTGCTTATGTTTTAGAAAAGTATAAGAAGTTTATATTCAATAAATCTTAATTAAGTAATTCCTAATGTATGAGTGTCTTATTTATATATTCACTTTTATTTAGTCATTTACGTGCAAACAATATAGGCTGAATATATAAATTTGAAAGGGAGTAATACAAACATAGCTGCCAATTCCTCCAGTTTATCATCACATTTCCAATAGATTACCAAATCTCCCGGTAATTAGTGTTTAGCCTTTACTAAAGAAAGTGTTTTTCAATGTTAATGAAATTTACTGAATTAATGATGTTTAAATTGTGTAAATTTTACTCTCCCTAGTGATTTTAAGCATAACATTCTTTATTAAAATTTATAAAGGCTGAAATGTCTTAACTTTCTATAGAGATCTGTAGGATTTTTATAAAGATTCAACCAATCTTTAATCAGTAAATATGTATATTTCATTTTGTTTTACATCAGTATTTGGTAAATTTATAGTTTATCTGCACAGTAATATATGCATTAATTATTAATTTTATTTTCGCCATATTTTAAAGTATTTTGGTAAATTAAAGAGGATCCCTATTCAGGATTTCCTCAGCGTAAAAGTGTAGAAAAAATTTTCAAAACTAAATTAGCTGAAGAATTAATCATATAATATATTTGACATCAGAATCATATGATAAGTAGTTGAATTACTTAAATAATGAATTATAAAGAGAACTTGACTCAATTTGGAGTTCTTTTAAAATGGTTCTGCTGTGTATTGCAAAACCTACTCAAAATAATTTTAATATTTCAAGATTGTCAGCTATAATATAAGACTAGTATTTAACTCCTCTGGCCTAGTTTGCATGTGCAAGGCTCAATGAAACTATTCTTATTTAATTATATTATTTAATTATAGATTAATATACATTCACCATACCTCAGACACTCCTTAAGCAACAGGAAAACTCATTAGGTGTGTCAACAAATATCTTTATTAATAAACAAATGTACTACTTGACATACAAACAACTTATGCTTAAATGGTTATATAGAGCAATCAAAAAGTATCATAACAGTGCATTAAGGTAGCTAATATATGTACATAACATATAAGAACTACTTGTTCAAAATATGTCGTTCATACAATCATGTTCCGTTAAACATAATCACACTCAGTTCCTTGAAATACTTATTTTACCTTTTTATTTTCAAACAACTTTCATGCCAAATTAGCTTATTTGACCCGTTTGAAATGACAAATTTTTCAACTCAAGTCCACATACAGAGTCTGCCTGAACTAATAACCAACTTGAATTTCTTCACAAAAATGAATATTAACCATAATCAGTTCTGTGAACTAACAGCTCTACTTGCCGCTTTAAATATGTACGTTGTAAATTCAAACTAGAATGATTCATTTTAAGCTTCAGCTTATACTTCAAATTTGCATTTTTGCAATTACTGCGTTCTGTGTCATTAGAATAATTCTTATAGTTATTCTCCAATCCTGAGCAATGACTACATATTTGCTTTTTATCACATCTTGACTGCAAATGTCCAAAACCTTGACACTTGACATATCTTCTTCATAAGTTCCACATCCTGTTACAGGCCAAGGCTGTCTCTCCAAGTTTCCTCCACCTGATCCCATTTGGTGCAACAGCATTCCATCAGTTGAACCATAAATCTTGCTCAACATTATCTATCCATCTAGTGGGTGGTCTTCCTTTTCATCTTGCTCCTTCAATTTTTGAAAAGGTTATCTTTTTGGTTGGAAATGCATCATCATATCTAAACACATGGCTCAGCCATCTGATACTAGATGCCTGTACGATTCTCACAATATCAGCTTCATCATATTTCTAATATTTTCCGTATAGTTCATGGTTAGAGAGAATCCTCCACATGCCATTTTGTCGTACCGGTCCAAAGATCTTTTATATGATTTTTCTTTCAAAAGTTGATATCAGGTCTTTCTCTGCTAAGTATCCAACATTCATTTCCGTAAATGGCAACAGGCCTTATTAAAGTTTTATATAAATTTAATTTAGTTTTTACGTTGATTAGTTCGGATTTAAGTTGTTTTTTAAGACCATAGTAACATCTATTAGATATAAATATTTTATTCTTTATTTCAATTTTTATATCATTGCAACTTGTGACTTGAAATATCTAGTGACATTTAAATAATTTTTATCCATTACTTACTCAAACCTATCTTAGATTGACAGGGTTTGTGCGGTCCTTAAAAAACCTTAGTTTTTTTTTTTTTTTTTTTTTTTTTTTTTTTTTTAAAACAATTTTTGGTGCTTAAGAATGCTTAGTTTTGACCAAAATTGAAAATATCTGATATTTTTCTCTGTTTTTTACAACTGCCACTTTATGTTTGAATTAACATTTTAGAGGAATATTTTCTGGTGTTTCATTGACAAATATATATATGATGGTTTTATCATTTCAGTTTGTAATTTTCTAATATAAATGGTGCAGTACTCAAATCCCTACCTCGATCGAAATATAAACATTTTAAAATTATTTCTTTTTTACAACTGAATAGTTCAGAAAATACAGGGTGATTATAATTAAAGTTTAAGTTTCAAAACGCTATAAAAAAAGAACCACTCATGAAAATGACGTCAAATTTGAAAGGAATGTTATTGAAGAAGGCGGAAAGCGTATGGCAGAAGAAAAAATTTAGTTTCAAAAGTTAGCAACAGATGGCGCTGCAAGCGGAAGAAGACGTAAATTAAAATGTTAATTAAATTTCAGTGTTATAAAGCCGTCAGGTACCAGGCTGTTCCTCATTTTGCGTCTCAGACGTTCGCCATGGGTGTTTCACTGCAGGACCGCGCTCTGCTGGTAAAGCTGTATTACAAGAATGATGATTGTGCAAGAGTAGCTCAGCAAAAATTCAGGACACTGAAGGGTATAAAAGAAGGCATTGGTCCAATGAGTGTCGTAGGTCTAAAGAAAATGATGCAAAAATTCGAAACGACAGGTTCGCTTGATGTGCAGTCTGGTAGAGGGAGAAACGAGTGCATTCGACGGTAATTGAAGAAGTGGCCCCAGCATTACAGGAGGGGTCGGCCGGTGGTGTGCAACCGTGCAGTGCACGAGGAATTGTCCGAATTGGACAGGCCTACGAGCACGGTGCTGAAAATTGTACGAAACATCCTGCAATGCTATCCGTACAAAATTGGCTATGTGCAGGAGTTGCTTCCGTCTGACCTGACAGCTAGGGAGACGTTTGCGTTAGAATTCCTGGCTCGCATGGAAGTGGATAATGAATGGCCGTGGAAAATTTTGTGGACAGATGAAGCCCATTTTTATCTGACACGATACGTGAATACCCAGAATTGTCGAATACGGGCAACAGAAAATCCATTGGCAACGCACCCCGTACCACTTCATTCTGAAAAGGTCACGGTATGGTGTGGCTTTATGGCATCATTCATCCTACAACCATATTTTTTCGAGCAGACGGGTGCTTCCGGTCCTGTTATCGCAACCGTCAGTGGTCAGAGGTATGCGTCTCTTTTGCGCAACCACGTGATTCCAGCTCTGCAACAGCATGGATGTGTGTATGAAATCATTTTTATGCAAGATGGCGCTCCTCCGCACATTGCACATCCCGTGAAGCAGCTGCTGAGGCGCCATTTCGGAAATGCTCGAATTATCAGCCGTCATTTCCCTACAGCCTGGCCGTCCCGATCGCCTGATCTTACTCCGTGTGATTTCTGGCTTTGGGGATATCTGAAGGATGTTGTGTTCCGTGCTCCAATTGCAAATTAGCGGAATTAAAGGCACGCATTTCACAACACATTCTGAACATCACCCCGGAGACACTGCGATCCGTTGTGGAACATGCTGTTTGTCGCTTTCAACTTGTTGCACACAATGGTGGACACCATATTGAACATGTTTTGCGCCAGTCTCGCGACAGTTCCGAACTTCTTTGATGAATGGTTCTTATGCGGTACGTCGCCACAAAACTCTTGAAACCGATTTGTCCCTTTCGATGTGACATGTACAGTCATGCAAATAAAATTATTCAACAATTCTAATTTGTCAATACGTTTTAATGTGTAACTTCCACCTTAGCCGTTGTTTTACGAATCATTTCTCGTCGTGATTCTGCCGCTTACAGCGCCATCTGTGGCTAACTTTCGAAACTAAATTTTTTCTTCTGCCATACGCTTTCCGCCTTCTTCAATAACATTCCTTTCAAATTTCACATCATTTTCATCAGTGGTTCTTTTTTTATAGCGTTTTTAAACTTAAACTTTAATTATAATCACCCTGTATATCAAAAACAACTTTTCCCTTTTGGGAATATGAATTCATTTGTTATGCGACACTAAATGTAGCAATTTAAGACAAACTTGTATGTATATATAATTTTTAATCTCGAGCTATATGAATTTTTTTCTTTTTTAAGCTAACATAACAATGGTAAATATCTTGAAAATAATGAAAATATTTTTAAATTACATTTAAGAACTAATATTAAAGTAAAACATTTTTGTTTTCCCCTATCATATTTTAAAGTGACATTACTTTCCAATTTGGCAACATTTTAATTCTGAAAAATAAACATAATAATAAATACTCTAAAGTAGGGGTATCCAACCTTTCACGTCCGAGAGCCACATCAATAAAGTCTTAAAGATCCGTGGGCCACGTGTCTGTCAAAAAAAATAGTGTAGTCAAAAAATTTATATAAAAAAGGGAGGTTTGTTTAACAAGACTACAATTGATTCTAAGCCAAGAGATAGTGTTACAGATTTGCATATATATTCATTGGTTCCAAAAAGTCAAATGGAAATCGAATTAAAATGTTTTAAACTTTTTTTAAGTATGAAAAAAAAAGTATGAATATGATTGTACAGAACGATGTTACAAAATGCATTTACAATAAAAAAGAAGAAAAAAACTTACAATACTGTTGGGAGATGGTAGTTACTTTAGTTTTAATGTGAAATTTGACATTGTTTTTGCTTGATTAAAGCTTCAATATCTGGTTTAATCTGTGTTGTTGCATTTCGTAAAGTTTCCTTCAAATGTTTGTCTGTCAGCCGCGTTCTTGTTTTTGATTTTAGGATTTTCATTGTACTAAAAAGATCTTCACATATGTAGGCACTGCCAAAGACAGAAGACATGAAGAGTGCATGTTTACGAATTCCTGGATACTTGTCTTCGGTCACATACTTCGAATAAAAATCAATTAATGTAGGATTTTCAAGAAACTTGCATTTTACTGCAGAGTCACACTGTAGATCTATAAATTATAATTGAAGTTCAGGTGGAACACATTTTACATAAGATAAAGTGAAAATTTTCAAAATTTGTCATTTTCAGAAAATTTTATCTCAGAGAATATCAGGCATGTCAATAAAATGTTTTAAATATCAGGAATAAGAGAAAAAAAAAAAGTTTTTTTTTTAACAACAAAAGCTGACAAGGCAGTTTTTCTTGAAATTAAAATTTCTTCAAATTCTTCAAATTCAAACGTGGGGCCACTAAAATGCCTTCAGCGGGCCACGGGTTGAAGACCCCTACTCTAAAGCATGATTCCCAAAACATTTCTTAGTAAAAGCAAAAAAGCTATTTTTAAAAATTAATTTGGTTTGTCATCCTTTATATTTTTTCAAGATATGCATTTTTTCCTATGCAATTATATCAGAATATTCAAACTTGTATCAGTTTTCTCTGTAAAATTCATTTTACATTTAAACTTTCTGATATCCCCCTCCCCCTCTTACAGAGTTACCACACATAATTTTTCCCTCGAATTACATTGCACTCTGGGAAACTTTAGAAGGATTCGAAGGCAAAATTATTGACTAACTATTTCAAAAAAAATGAAAAAATATCTTCGTAGTCTACAGGAAGTTTGTGATAAATTTCACACACACACATATATATAGCAGTGTTTTTTTTTTTTTTTTTTTTTTTTTTTTTTTTTTTTTTTTTTTTTGAGAATTTTGGGAAGAACGGTGAAAACAAAATTATTTGAATTTTTTGCTTTTGATCCTAGAAGTCTTTCTCTCTAACATGCTTATCTTTCCTTATTTTCTCTTCTTTTAACTATATACAAGCATGGGGAAAGTTGCAAAAATGGTTTTAATCTTGTCACATGAACCTGAATCTGTAGAAAGAAAGTTTTCTATTAATTCAGAAATTGAAATTTGACAATTTAAAAGACTCATCTCATAGACCATACTCAGGGCTGATACTTGACATTTTGCCACTTTATGCAATCTCTATGGGTCTTAAATTCTGCTGTTTACTGCCTGTCCTAAATTCTAAAAATTTTACCATCCATAAATTTTGTTATTCAGTGCTTTACTATGTTCTAAAATTTCTGCCACATTGGCTGTCATGCAACCCTGACTGTATATCATTTCATAATTATTCTCAATACATATATTTTTAAAAACAAAATAAAATTAGCACTTGCATTCTAAATACGTGCAGCTTTTTAGAATAACAGATATCTATAATTAAATCTGAAACTTCTAAATTGAAGCGGAAGCTTATAGAGAAAGAATATTGATTGCATAAAGAGAAAGAAAATTGTTCTTCAAAGGTATATATATTGTTCAAATATTAAGAAATGAAGCAGAGATTAATGGGAACATTGGTTTGTTTATTGCAGCAAAAAAAACTTAGCAAGATTTTAAATAGAAGGACATTTATATGAATTAGCGAAAATATCTGAAAAAATATTTAAATTAAAAAGATGCATAAATATTCTGTTGTGTGCTGTTGCTACAAAGTATACATGTTTTGTAGCTTTTAATGTATAATTATTCTAATATTTTTTAGAAAATTTATAAACTGTACATGCAATAATCTGTTATTTTTAAAGTGTAAAGATTGTGATTTTAATAGTACTTTTTTAAACAAATTTGTTCAATTTAAGAAAACCATAATAAATTTAAATCTATAAAATCTCAGGATTAGCTATCTAATTTAATTATTTGTAACTAACTGCTCAGTCTCAGAAGTTATCTCTACATTTTATGACAATACCATCTTTTATTAATCCTTATTGTGAACACAAGATACAACATAAATTGTGAAAATTAACATAAAATGTTATTCTTTACGGCTAATGAGACTTAAAACAAATACAAAACAAATTATCACCTCTGATGCTTCAACAGGTTACTAGAACTTTAGAATGTGTTAACTAGGTTACAACTCCAACTCGAAGCAATGACACTAACTGCCTCAGACAAAGCACAACTAAATTTCAATACTTTGCAACCATGTCAACATTATCAGCAGCTTTCTGTCTTTCTAGGCAAGAGCAGCAGTGGCAATAACCAATCAGGCTGGTGTGATTTTACTTCTCTGTTTAACCTATGTCAATTGACATCAAATCTGCATAAACCTTCAGATTGCATGAGTACTTGATGAAACGAGACATAAAAGAAAAAGCAACATAAAACTAACTGTTCATAAATCTTAAACAAAGTTTCACTCATCTTCTTTAAAATGTGCAGGACTATTGTAGCTGTAAAATGTATATGTTTCAAGAAATATGGTAACTTAATGCTAGTTACTTGCTAAATTTTATGAATTCGATTTTATTCTTGAATTTGCTTTGTAGTTATGTTAAATATTAGATTATGTTTAATAATAATGCATCCTATTTACAGATCTGTTTTATTCTTAGAATGGTATTACAAGAGTGGAGTTGTAATACCATTCTGAGAATAGTTCTAATTCATTCCTATTTGTTGATAGGTTCTTATCTTTTTATTTTCGTTTGCATTGATGCACCTTATAAGTACTTAATTTCTATGTGCAGAAATGTATACTAAACCTGATTGACCTTTCCAACCACAACTACAGTCTTACACTTTTCTGTCTGAATTCCAACCACCTAATGCAATCTACCAATTTTCCCTCATATTAGGAATAATCTATCACTATCTCTGATCTAATTTCATCTCACCATCTATATTACACAATGTTACCTTTGATTTCTTCTTTATGGGTGATTTGGTCAGCAAATCATCTTTCAATAATGAAATTACTTTTATTTCTTCATCCAATCTATCAGTATCATTCTTATTTGAACATCTACAAGACTTCCATTGTTAACTTTTCGTGTATTTTGAATTCCCATTTTTAGTTTAGCAGTATCTACCACTTCCACTATTTCAGATTTTCTTTTCAGAAGGTATGTCATTCTTCATTGGATAAATCGACAAGACGTATTCCTGTTTCTTTTCTATTTTGTCCGATTTTTGAAGTCCCTTTTTCTCCACATTTCATTATTCTTTTATGATGTCGGCAAATGTAAGTACTACTTTCTGCAGAAACTTGGAAAATTCCTTTCTCTCCTGTAATTTGCCCATCAACAAGCTATTCTCCAATGCTTCTAAAACAATTAATCAAAAAAGGAACTCTTATGCATTTAATATTTTTTTATGAAGGGTCACATTATGGAATCGTTGTGCACTCATCTACTGCAGCCTCTGTCTGGCTTATTACTAGATGAGCTTTATTGACCATTTCATTACTTTCAATAACAGACTCTGTTTGTACTTTAAATAAATATTCTGACATTTGGCGGAAATTCGGTGTTAGATTGTCTCCTATAGGACACAGAGCCCCCAGACCACAACAAGGTCCTGCAAATCCAAGGAATATGTGTTGAAACTTAAAAATCTTACATTTTCCTAATCTAATATATATATATATATATATATATATATATATATTTATCTAGAATGCTGTTCAACTGTATTAGCTACCCCCATCCCCGAGGGAGCTATGATGTAAATAAAATTTAAGACTTATAATTCTTGCAGTCTTTGGTTCCAAAGAGTGAGAGTAATGGGAATTCTGGTGTATATGTATAGTACATGATATACAACACCAATAACTTCAAATTATTGAAAGTGTAAATTTTATTTGAAGTTGAACACATTTTCTATGTATTTAAAGTTTTGTTCTTTCTCTTTATAAGTTTAATTTTTTTATTCTTTTTTAAGAAACAAATTGGAGTATAAATAATTTTATCTTTAATTATGCTATTATCCTTAATCTTTTTCATTATCTTTGTTATCTTTAATTATTTTCTTAAAAATATACTTTTTTTTACATTATCATAATCCTTTTTTCACTGATATTTGCCTCTTACAGGATTTATTTACTCTTTATGAAAACACAGAATGTCTAACTCATGACCTCATCAAATGTCAGTGTTTGATTTCTGATCAATCTACTTTATTGACTGAAAGGAATATAGAAGATAATCTCACCAGTTTGCAATTGGCACAGGTGAGCTAGATATGTAATTTGCTAAAAGTAAACACTTAAATATATTTATTAATTCTAAATTCACCATTTTAGCATACAAAAGTAAATAGTGCTAATTACTGAATTTTGGGATTTTTCTTAGTTGTAACAATATCTTTTTTTAAATTGGAGTTAAGTTTACAGCTAGTTATTTAAGAGATATTTAATATGCAATATTTTTTTAATTCTTCTGTAATCGATTTAATGAAACTGGATTATTTGATGCATGGCACATCAGGTATTTTCTTGTAAGGAGGGATACCTTTGTGCAGGAATCTATAAGAAAGTAATACATATTTATGTAACATAATAGGAAATGCTCATGCATCCAGCCAGTTGAACTGTAAGAATAGAAACGAGGGCACAATCTACTGGCATTTTGTGGATTTAGTTACTTGGTCAATGGTATTCGTGCAGTAATAAAATCGGTGTATATATGTTTATAACATTTCATTAAAATAGATAATATATGGCACTATATAATTTTTTCCATGAGATAGAAAAATATTTAACATATGCACAGAGGTACACATATAATTTTTGTTTAAAAAGCACATTATACATATGTTGAATGCATGAGCAGATTGTAAATGCTGGAAGTAGAATAATTGAAAGCATCCAAATCATGTCTAATTAGGATGTTTCTTTAATGAGAGAGAGCTTCAATAGCATTAATCAATTAGTTTTTAAGTTAAATAAAATATTATTGGACAGATTTTACTTAATAGTATTACATATGTTTATGCATTTGTGATACATAACTACACTGCAACTATTAATTTAGAATGACACACAGCAGATGTATGGGGACGAACATTATTCTGTTGGAAAATGTCACCAGGAATATTGCTCAAGAATGGCAGCACAACCACTGCAATCACCATTCTGATGTACACATTTGCTGTCAAGGTGTGTGGGATAATGATGAGAGTGATCCTGCTTTCATAGGATATTGCTTCCCAAATCATAACTCCTGGTGTAGGTCCAATGCATCTAACAACTGAAGACAGCTTGGTTTCAATCACTCACATGCCTTTTTTCTAACTACTGTATGACCATCAGTAATCCAAGGCAGAAATGGATCTGATCTGATCTGATCTGAGGACACAACAAATCTCCACTCCACCCTCCAGTGGGCTCTAGCTCGACACCACCAAAGTCGCAAATAGCAGTGATTTGGAGTTAGTGATATGACCGCTACAGGGGTTCTGATTTGGAGCTGTCCCTCAAGTAATAGATTTATTGAAGTTCACTGTGTTACTCTGGTGCCAACAAAAGTTAAAATCTCTGCTGCAGATACAGAGTGATGTGCCACAGATATACAGCAAATATGGTGTGTCTTCTGTTTGAGTGGTGGCACGTGAGACCAGACCGCTGCTTTTTTGAGATGGTACCTTCCCCTTGACCACTGCTACAGAGTGGATACATCCCTGCTAAGTTTCTCTGCAGTATTTCAAAAGAAAGTCTACCTTCATGTAGCCCCATTACATAGCCTCATTCAAACTCAGTAAGATGCTAATAGAGCCTTTTTCATCTCTTTAAAGGCATTTGTGGCTAAAATTTCACTCACAACTTCCAATCTGGATGATAAATAAAGCACACAAAATTTACATCGCACATTTAAAGCAAATTAGGTTTGTATGTTCATAGTGGCAGTACTAGCACCACACTTATTCATCTAGCTTAGGGATTCTCAACCAAGAGGAATTTTCCTGGGGGAATTTCATAGTTTCAGGAGGATGTGGTCGACCTGTGCATTTAGCAGTTTAGCATTTAGATTTTATTTATGAAAAAGCTACTTTTATTCAAGTTTTGGTATTCATCAACTTTTTACATTCTTTTTGTAGTTTAATTAATAAAATAAGTTAAAAAAATAATCTAAATAAATAGATATGTATTTTTCAAGTTTTAGAAAAGAGGGGAGAGGGAATCAACTTCCAGCAGTGGTGAAGGGGGTGCATGGTGCAAAAAAAACTTGAGAACGTCTCGTCTAAACATGAAATTTGAAGAGATGTCATCTTTCAGATATGCAAAAGTATTTCTCAACTGTCTTTTATCCAGCAGAACTCTGTCCTTGTGTAGGGATTTCATTTTCAATCTGTGTGTATGTGTCATTTTCAATCTGTGTGTATGTGTAGCATATGTATACAGGGTCCTTAAACAGCAAAATAACTTATTAAAACAGAAAGCCAGAATTGTCTCTTAGTAGCAAAATGACTATATTTTGTCATATTCTGAAACTAACTGCAACACTCCTAGAAGCAAGTGTTATATTTCATAGCAAAAACAATTCGATCATATTAAATAGAGCGCCACCATTTAATATGAAATTACATTTTACATACACAATAACTTGGAAAGAAATACTAACATATATGTATATACAATAATACAGCATTTAACCACTTGCGCTACAACTAAACTTCATGGTTGCGGTACCGTGCGCTACAATATAACAAGCGGTAAAGTGTCTTATTTACGCCCGCATGTGCGAGTGCAATCCAGAGCTGTAACTCGTGAAATAAACAATCTCGTTGTTAGGCGACATGTGCACCACGTTATTTTCATTTTTGCGCGTGGTTTGAGACAAAAGCATCTCGACGTTCGTGGCACGTCTTTTTAGCACAAGTGGTTAAGAATTTGCATAAAACGTCCAAAGAGCATAAAACCTTGAAATGAAATTTGCCTCCAAAACAATGATGAATGGATGGTAATGTGCAAATAGAAATGCTACATCATATCTCATAAAGGAATAAAAAATTGGCAGTACTGGAATTTTGCCAAACAGTGTTTGAACTGGATCTTTAAATCAGAACAGGGCTGTTATTCCAATGAGGAGTACTAAGAGATGCTTCTCTTATATGAGAATGTAGTGGTTGGGTAAGAGGGGTTGCACTGTCTTATGCATTACATTTCCCTGATTGTTCTCATCCTACTGTGGCTGCTATCATTAATGCTATTCATCAGCATAAAGAAAGAGGCAGTAATACAAGACATACTTTTTCAGGTAGTTTGAAATTTACAAGTGCACATATATGGCCAAAGGACATCCTGATCTATGCACTAGCCACTCATACTGTAGTTCGAGCATAATTGAGAAAAATGTAATCGCAATTACATTTATATTGTAATGTAATTTAATGTAAATGTATACCAATAATTGCAATGTAATTAAACTTACATACAATTACAACATTATTGTAGCAAGTAATTATAATTACATAATTATGAAAGTAGTTGCTCTTGACAATTATCATTAAATAGTCTTAGAAAGTGGTGATCATAATTAAAATTTATAGTGAAACACAGCATATCTGAGATGTTTGCATTTTGGATAATAAATTATTAAATGATACGAAAAGTAGCTTGAAAAAGAAATATTAGTATTTTTCATCTCGCATGATCCTGCTTGTGTATGTATTGCAATTCATAGCAGCAATATAAATTACAAAATAGTCCTTTATTAAATATTGCACATACTTTCAGAAAATAAGTAAAATAAACACTTGTAAATATGCATAATTTTAGTAGGCAAATATGTATATTTACTGTGTTTGCTAATGTACACAGAGATTTTAATTATTAGATTAAGATAAAGCACATAAAGGCTGTTTACCTCTGGATAATGAGATGCCTTTTTAAAGGACTTATTATAACGAAACTGGTCCTTTTTACTTCCTTGTACAAAGTAAAAAGGAAGTATTGTAATTGCAAAAAATTTCGGATATCTTATTTCAACAAAAATATTCATTTGTACCGCTATCAAATGCAATTTAACGATGTTTTGCATGATATCTGTACGTAAGGACAGAATAAAGGACTCTTTTCCCAAAAAAAATTATAAAACTGATTTAAAATAAATTCTAAAGAGATTTTTTCGTGGTGTCTGTACATACGTACGTATCTTGTATAACTCAAAAACGAGTAGCCTTAGAATGTTGAAATTTTGTTCATTGGACTGCTATAACATGAAGATGTGCACTTACCATTTGGGTTGCAATCGGTCGCACCAAAAAATATATAAGTATATATATATTCACTTTGTTACTCGGCTCAGTGAGCTCAGTTTCTTTATTCTTATATGTTTGTAAATTGTGCATTTTTTGCTTTAAAAATGATTGAATTATGTTGTTTTGGTTAAGATTTTTATGCCTGAATGCAATAATTGTGGAATTATCAACAATTTAGAGGTTTTTTTACATGCGGATAAGCCTAATTTTTGAATAACATGGCAGCCATCTTTGTTTACATTTGAAACTTAGCACAACAGTGGATTTGTTGCCAATCTAAAGAAACTAAGCTTCACAACAGCAAAGTAACAAGAAAGTCTTTTATTATTGCAAATTAAATTATGCTTAATTCATTCTGGAATTAATATTTAAGTTATTAGCTTGTTTTGGCATAGAAACTGTAATTTTAATTGTAGAAATTGTGTTTTTAATTGTTTTAACTGTATTTGGTGTTTTATGCTTTTCTATAGCTTTCAAATTTTAATGAAAATATTTTGAGTTTTTATGTATTTTAAGTATTTTTGCCTTGCCACGAAGTGAGAACTGAATTAATTAGTAGTGCATGCACTTTAGACACTGAATTGTCGGAGAAAAACTTTCTTTTTTATTTGTTTAATTTCTTTTATACATCGTTTTGACTTATTATAGTATTTGAATAGAACTTGTGCTAATCCTTCTTCTGATGTAATTTTTGTGCACTTTGAGTTATAAAATGAATGTTAATGCTGTTTAGTGAACATAGCGCCAAAGTGTCACTATGGTAAATAAATCCAGTGAACTTTAAAGAATGCATTTATTCTATTGTGCTTTATGCGCTATCGACGGAGTAGATTTAATTCAAAATTCATTTACTGTTAGTTCAATATGTTTAAATGCAATGTTTAAACTTAAAAGAATGATATTAATAATAAATTATATCTATATTAAATACAACACATATTCTCATTAAATAATTTTGAGATAAGTTTTGTTGTAAGTGGCTTGTATAGGCAGGAAATATTTTGAATAAAATATCTGTAAATTTCTTAAGAAAAGTATAAACAGATCAGAAAAGAAAAATGTATAAGGAGAGAGATGCGTGTCAAGAAGACTTTCTTTACATAGGGAAATCATGCAGATACCCAAACAACCACATTGTTTGCTATGATTCAAACCTAAATCACGCTAAAACTATTCAACTAAAAAGTGTTACCTACTCTGTCATTGCTGAGCCAAAATTTAACTGTTTTTGTAGTCATATTTGTAACTCTAATTGCCATTATATTATAACTGCAATTACAGCAACATTAACTGTAGTTTTAACTACAGAGAGTAGTAATTTTTATTGCTGCTATGAATTATAGCTAAAGCTACATTAATTGTAGTTTTAACTACTAATTATGGTGTTATACAGACTGTTCGATCAATAATAAATTGCTTAAATTTCAAAGATTTAAAATACATTTGTTGAAGGTAACATTTTCAAGTATTTGAGGCATGCAAAGGCATGTCGAAGTTAGATTTAAGGTCTTATGTTTTGTTGTATGGTAATATTCTGAGAATTTGCTATGTGGAAGATTAATTAAGATTTTATATTTTGCACAGTGGCAATACTTGCCCAGAGCTCTGTCTAGATTATTTCCAGTTTTCTTGTACCTCAAGTTTTTAAAGCACAATTTTGTATATGAGTTTTATTTTTCAAAGGCAGTATGAGTAAAAGCAATATACTTCCCTCAAAATGTGATAAACCAAGAATACTAATGAATTTAAATATTTCAGTTCAGTTTGGGGATAAATGTTCTAGGTATACAGAAGATCTGCTAATTTCCAAATTTAAATCCATTTTTAGATCACTAACTTCCAAAATTTAGCCCCACAAGCACTGCAGTCAGTCTCATAGATAGACTATTTTAGATAGACGTATTTTTCATAAATTTAACTTTATCTGCCCAATAGTTGCTTTGGTTTTTGGTATTTACAGATTTTAATATACACATACTCATCATTAGGTAATTTTTATATGCGTCAGCCATTTTGACTTATCATATTTATGTATGAATGTATAATTGTAACATAAAAACATTATTAATATTTATGTGTTTATTTACAATGCTTTTCCTTTTATTGACAGAGTGAAAATTTTTTATATAGATATTTAATGTAAAACATATGATTCTAGAGTGAAGGTCATCAGAAAATCTTTTCTTTTCAACTGTTTAATATTTTCTAAATCATTATAATTATCTTTTTTTTTTTTTTTTTTTTTTTTTTTTTTTTTTGTCTTTATCAGAATGCTAGCATGGCTGAGTTGATGAACTGGAAGCATATTAAAGGGCCATTATCAAATGAAAATATAATTGTAAGTATTTATATAATATTAAAGTCAATCTATTTACCTACTTTTTTATTAATGTTATGAAAAGGAAATGAAACAATCCAATGAGAATATCATGTTTAGAATCGCTAGTTATTTGATTACCAGATAAGCCACATTAATATGTTCAGTAACACATTGGTCATCGGTGAACTATAGATGGCTTTCTGTTTACTGTAGATGTGAACATTATTAAAAAAATACAAAATAGATTCAGCTAAATTGATATTTGCCAGAAATACAGTTTATCCAAATCTATATTGGTATCATATGAAAGAAATGTAATTCTCTAATATCTACTTTGTGGAAAAAGTTTGCATAACAGAAAAACACAGAAAAACATGGAGCATAGGGATGTTGAAGAAGCATAATGGTTCACTATTCAAAGCTGTAATCTGCCAATATCTGAACAAATGTTTCGGAAAATGGCCAATGAATTTGCCAAACACTTTGGACAGACTGGTTAAGAATGGACAATAAATTTAATAGCTAGGCTTAATAATAACTAAAAAAATGTTAATGCTTTCTTTTTAAAATTTGATATAACAATGTTAATCATTTTTTTAAAAATTACTATTATTCAAGTTTTTGCAAGATAATCCATTCTTATCAAATTGGATATAGCGAAACACTAGTGAATCAAATTTCTAGTCTGTCATAGTTTGTTATAGCCAGATTTGACTGTATAGTCATTTGTAATGCGTGAAATCATCACAGTGTGGATTTTTCTGTGAGCTTTAACCTTGTCACTGCCTTAAATATCTGAAAGTAAAACATCTTATCCAATCGCAAGACCCGCCAAAATTGCATCTATTATTCTAATAGAAGTTTGAAAGAATTGATTGCTCTTTATCTAGTTAAGATAATAAAGAGATACAAGTTACAGATATAGCCTCTAAAAATCTTGAATCGCTTGTCATAATTTTTCATAATGCACTGCCATTGCTTGTCCATTAGCACACATTTTTCTTGATACCCGAATCACATAATTTAAAAAGTACTGTACAGCATGCTGTTCCATTAAACACAGGTCTCAATTTTTTTTTTTTTTTTTGAACATAAGAGAAAAAATAGATAAGCAGTTAATTTATATCCTTCTGTGCAAAAACTATACTGGCTTTTCAAGAATAAATTGGATTTCCATAAAATCAAGGCAAAAATCTTAAAATTTCACTTTTATCCATTAGTAACATCAAATTAAATTGTTTGGTGGTGGTGTTTGTTTGTCAGAAATGGTAATAAATCATAAAACCAATGCAAAATTCTTATAATTATGATGTCACACTTATCCATTACTAGCATTAAACTAAATTGTTTGGAAATGGTTTTTGTTTGTCAGAAATGGCTGGCATTAATCATACTGGCATGAATAGTTTGCACATTTGTCAACTAAACATTTATAGTCTTGGAAATCTCTCATATGTTCTTGTGTCATACTAACTCCCTTTTTTTTTTTTTTTTTTTTTTGTTTAGTACCAAGGATGAATTCTTGAAACAGTATGTGTGTGTGGGTTATAAGCACCATCTGAAAGCAAACCATGTAATTGTAATCACATTTAGCATGTTATAAGGTTTTGTATCGTCCTATATGTATTTTTATGATGGCTTTACAAATTTCATTTGTTAATTTTTCTTAAAAAAATATTTTGATTATTTGAGTTAGGCTTTCCTGTAGAATAATTAGTTTACTGGGTTTCATGAAAACATATTCTGAGGAGGTTTTCCATTTCAGGCATCATAATATTTCTTAAATTATTTTCTAACATCAAAAGTGTATTTTGCAATAAGTGACAAGATATTCTGTCACACCATTGAAATCATGCAGTACTATATGAGATAAATGAAAAGTTATGAACATAGCCAATAATTATTTCTCTTCTCTCAGGTATCAAATTTGAATTCAAAAATAAAATTCTGAAATGTTGCCATGATTTCTTCAATTTTCTTTTTCCTTTCTGAGATTTTTCTTTTGTACCAGATTTCAAATTTTGAAATTAATTTTATATAACTTTTCAGAGTTCTTGTCTTGATCCATAGTTTTCAGTAGTTTTAGATAAAAAATTTGTTTTAGGCTGTAAAAAGTAATATTTTTATTTTTTCTTCTAGAACTTTAATAACTAAGCATATAATAATCTTTAACCACTCTGAATTTATAAATAGGATCTTCTGCTTCTTCTAAGAGGTTAAATATATCAGTTCTTGAAAATGAGTAAATAAAAACTTTAGTTTTCTGTTTACATTAAATTTTACAGCAAATACATTATATTGAATTTTTTAATTTTATATTTCTTATTTATTTATAATCAAATAGCCACTTTTATAAAATGTTTCTTAAAAGTTTTATGACATTTATAAATTTCAAGTTTTATTCAGTTTATTATTTCATTGGCTTTTATTTAATCAAAGAATCTTTGATACTGTATTCTTTTTCTTTTAGACATACTTGCTACACATAATAAAATTTTATTTACAGGATTTCTGCCTTGCAGATGACCATAAAGACATTACATTTCTTTTTTTAAATAAAGTTAATTCATGACTAAAGAAACTTCATGAAGAACATTCTAGATGAAGCTAATAAAACTATTTATATATGAATTCAAAATCAAATTTTATTGTATGCAATAAAGAAAATATATCATATAATGAGTGCAAAATTTACAAAATTCACAGCAAATAAGGAATGTACGCAGTAAATTTAAAGTATATAACAGAAGAATGCTGAACTATCAATTTACAAGAATCCAAGTCTGATTTCAATGAACACTTCTAATAAAATATTTGTACAAGCTATAAATATCCAGTATTTTAATTTGTTCCAATTTAAATAAAATATTTGTTCAAATTTTTAAATATAAAAGAATTTTATATTTTTAAATATAAAAGAATTTTATGTCTCTATTCTGATTTTATTCAAAATGCTTATTCTTTACATAATATATCAAATAAAGATATGAAAAGATATGAAAATTGATATAAGATATGCAGGCATGGTATTAGGCGTAAAGTAATGGAAAGATATTCCGTAAAATGTTTGAATGCATCTTAGTGTGGCACAGTGATAAGCATTATTTAAAGTTTAATTTTATTAAAGTAAAGTTTCAGGCTTGGTAAATTTGTGAAAGAAAGTCGGCTTAATTAAACAAAGCTACATGGATGAAGCTGTATCTTAAGTGCATTTATAAATGGCTTATACATTTTCAGGATGGATGAGATTCCATCGAAGTGGTAGGTTTATAACTTCTCGTACTAAAGAAAAAGATGAAAAAGCCAGAAAGAACAGCAAAGAATTCTAACATGTATATGGATGTTCAGGCAAATTTACTGCAATGGATTTGTGAGGTATGCCAAGAAAATGTCGAAGCAGGCACTTGCTTCTCTCTTCATGATAATAATTCATGGCCATATCCAGCCTTTGTTGTAAAACAGTTTACGATCCATAGAAAAGCTGTAGCTCTCTATCATTTATCATACTACCTGATCTAGTTTCTGCAAACTTCTTTCTGTTTAGGATATACTAGACATTCAAAGCCATATAATGAAGATCCTCCATGCAGATTACTGAAAGAAGACTACTCAGTTTTCAGGAACTGTACAGTCACAGTCAAAAATGCAAATCAAATGATGGACATTACTTAGAAGGAATACGAAAAGCATTTTTTCCATTTAAGTATGATTTTTTTTTTTTTTTTTTTTTTTTGTTTATGAATATATTTGCAAACATTATCATACCATGTACATCATGCAACTTAAAACTTCATTTGTTCATAAGATTGAGTAAATATATAATACACAACAGTTGACTGAAAGATACAGGCTTTATAACATTCACTTACAAAGTAAATGCAGACATCTCAATATAACAAAAATTGGATGAAATCTATCACAAATCTAATAAAATAAATAATACATTTTATAATAATTACTATATATACAATGATAGATTTTAAGCAATATCAAAATGTTAAACATCAGAATTCTATAAAAGGATAAAACATGAAATAAATCATCCAAAAAATAAATTTAATTCTCGAGAAAAAATTTTCACGTGTTATGATATTTCATTTTGATCTATCAGGATTAAGTCTAGGTTTGAAACTGAATTTGTTATCGATAAATTCTAGGAAACAGATTTCAAATAATAAAATACTCTAAACTTGTAAATCTCATTAAATTGTCTATGAAAAACTGATTCTCAAACAAATAGCCAATGTAACTCAAATAAGACTTTCCAACAAATTTTTACTTTTTAATTTAAAATAACATAGAATGTCAAAAACATAGCTAGCTAATAACTAGATGTTTTTAATTCATAAAACGCTTTGTGATATGAGATGCGACACAAATAACTGAAACACTAAAATATTTATTACATATGGCCCCCTTCTACAAAGCAAATTAAGAGTACAGCTAACCAATAGTAATCATGATAATTTTGGATATTTTAACTATGATGATACTGCGCCAAATATAAGCCAGCTTTACAAGTAAATATTTTTTCCTTTAATACAAAAGGTAAATAAATTTTTTAAATGCTAGACTATATATATTACTAATTTAGTTTTCAGAAGGATGATACAAAAAAACATTGCAAAACTGGGAATTAAATACATTTTAGTGTTTCCTACACAGGCTTGAAAATTGCTAATAATAATGGGGGAAAAAAAAAAAAAGGCCATCAGTACATTTTTTCTCAATTTCTCAAACGCTTTGACAGATTTTTCAACAAATGAAGATAACAATTATACAAAAAAGACAAGAAACAGTTATTGAAAAAGTTCAGTTTCGAATTAGAGGATGAAAAGAAAATTTCTTGTTAATTATTGGTGTCATCACTAACAAGGAACAATTTATTTCACAAATACACATTGTCAGATATATCATAATGTTTTTATTTTTATAAGAAACAGCCGTTCAATAAAATTTTGGATGTTACTTATGAAACTTCTGGTATGCCATTAATATTTAAGTGCTAAATATTAATGGCATACCAGAAAATAAAAATAATAAAAGAAAAATACAGAGATCAACAAGAGAAATATCCAAAAGACCAATTATAAACTGTACGAATGAAACATTAGCAGTAAAAATATTTGTTCGTCAATCTGTAATCAAATCAAAAAGAAAACAACCATTTATAATCCCCCAAGCAAGTTCAATAAATGCAGTATAAAAATTTGTATTTAAATCATTCAGATAAAGGCTACAATTATTATAGTTTGTCTTACATTGACAGAAACAAATAAAATGTCTATCTCAGAATTGGCCTGTTAATTCAATGATCCTAGTGCAATTACATTAAAAAAACGGAAGAAAAAGCTCTTGTATACTCTACTGACAGGTATTGTACAAATATCCTCTTCAGAAGTGAATTCTTAGAAAACGAGAGAAAAAATTTTAGGATCTCAACTTATGAACAGGACAAAAATAGTCATATATAAAAATACTAAAATCGTTCTTTAACGAGAAAATAAAAATCTCATCCCATTAAATAATTGGGAAGATTATTACACTTTGAAAGATAGTATGGTAATATGTTACAAATTATGTCTCGATTATTTACTACTCTTTAATATAATGTCACGTAATAGATAAAATAATATTTAAGATAAAATTCCTTTTTTGTTGGGGTGAATGAATAGAAATGTATCATTAATTCAATAAACACAGGAGAAAATTTAGGCATTTTTAAGCACTTAAATATTAATGGCATACCAGAAGTTTCATATTTTTTGAAATATATATATATAACCTATCAAGAACTTATTTGTACGAAGGCAAAGACTGAATACAAATTATACGTTAGATACATATTACACATTAGATAGCTTACAATTATACATACAATTTGTTCTAACAAGCAAATCCATAAATGATAACTGGTATAATATATATATTTATATTTTGTGGAGGCATAATGTATGTAATAAAATGCATTTATAGTATGAGAACATTCAAAGACTTTCATAGAAGCAGCAGTTATATATATATATTGCAATATCCATTTACAATACTTGTGAATAAAACATTTTCCAAACATTTTATTTTTAAATCTTTTTTCATGATAAAATAATAATAGCAACTACTTTGAGTAAGTAGCAATAAAAATCAATAGCATACTTAAAATTCAAGTATCGGGAAATCTAATTTTTTCATGAGTTTACAGGAGTACAAAAACCTTCAAATATTTCAAAAACAGTTTGTTTTCACTATATTAAATATTTACAGAAAAACAAAATCTCAATTTCAACACCTGAAGTTAGCTTATTATTTGCTTTTTTAAATTAATGATTACAACTTTGATTTCCTAAAATAAAAAAGATATTTTGTGAATAGTGAAAGTAATCTATCATTACGTACATCAAGTTGCAAATATAATGCTTTTTCAAATCTTGCATTGATAAATATATCACAATATGTCTTCAGTAGATTTTATTTTCAATCTCATGCAAAGAACACAATTATTGAGTTGTTCAGAAAGTGATTTTTTGCCCCTTATCACTTGAGGGATTAGCTGTATTTTTAACTAGCCAATTTCATTCCAAACCATACTGTCATTATTGACAGTTGACATTTTAAGCCTCCATTTATAAAATGTATTGTGTGTGTAGGTGCCTCATCAAATATGGAAAATCAAAAGCAGCATTTCATGTGATTTGCTTTTATTACTGAATAGGTAAGAATGTTGCATAAGCAAGGAAAATTGTGCTATGTGGGTGGAAAAGATATGTCAACAGAAAACCAGTGTAAAAATGGTTTGCAAAATTTCATTCCAGCAATTTAAACAATGAAGATGCACCACGTTCTGGAAGGCCAGTTGAAGCTGATAAAGACAAAGATATTAACTAAAGCAAACTATCGAATCACTGAGATGAAATTTGTCGAATTCTACATTTTATGACCATATACATATATTTTAAACCACTTGGTTTCATTTCAAAGCTCAATATAACATTCTGTCTCTATATAATATTCAGTCTTACTTTGGTACTTGTTAAATCATTATCCATATCGCACTTTATTAAAAGCAAGTGATTATGTTCATATAACAAAAATTGTGGGAACATTATGAATGTTAGTGGAAATTATTAGTGTCCTTTATTGTCACTCAACCAGAGTTAGCAATCCTATCTGGCACCCTCGTAGCCCTCACCAGTAGTTGAGAGATTAAGACCACTGAATATTGGTAGTTTGATCCCAGGCAAATGAACAAGTTGAGTGTCCATTGTTGGTTTTTAAGATTTTATCAAAAAGAAGCCATGATATTCAATATGTAATTCAATAGAATATTTACATATAATAAGAATACTGTTTTCATCCATCCTCACACACGCACAAAAAAGGGAACAAAATTTTTCTTTTCGAACAATCCAATATATATATATATATATATATAATAAACATATTCCTTTTGATAAAGAATAAATTAAAAAGCTTATATACATATATGCATCCAACAATCTCATTCTTTCCTGTAATTCATACATAAATAAATGGGTAACAAACCAGTTTAACTTGTATGTATTAACTTGTAACAATATTATTAAACAGATGTAATTTTTTTTTATATTTAAAGCTTTTAATAACTTAATACAACTAGCAATAATCGACTAATATTATAAATCTTAATATATTAAACAAATTGTAACAAAAAATAATCTAGCTTAACTAAACTGGCACAGTTTAATCATAAAATAAATAAAAGGAAGTATGGCACAATTTTTTGCTGCTATTACATATTATTAGTTTTATATATGCAGCTGATTTGACCATTTTTAAATACATTAAATGTGTTTTAAATCCAGATAATTATAACAAATGACTAAAAATTTCTCAGTATGCAATATGAATCAAAATTTCCAATAATGTAGTGACTCATTAAATATGATATTCATAATGTAACAGAGCTTTACTGATGAAACAATGTTCAGCCCCAAACAATATATAAATAAATTATTCTGCATTTCTACAAATCATCACACAAGTAACACATTTAGTTGTCAAATTATTTTTTAAATATTTGATTTTAAATGTATATATTTGCTAAAAATCATAAGCATTATAAAACTGAAATAGTTTACCATCATGAAATTTATCAGAAGAGTATAACAGAATAAAAATCTTTGATTCTTTTTTTTTTAATCAGTCAATAGAAAAATAGCATTTAAAATATAAAGTATTTAGCACTTAAAGGAATAATAAAATTTAAAAAATTTACCTAAAAGGAATGAAATGGAACTAAAGTATAAAAATTATAATTCATAGCAGTTAAAATCACCAGCTACTTTTCAAATGTACATTTTTAGGGGAAACAAATCAAATTTATTTGGACTGTAAATTATCAAATGATAAAATTTGATAAATAAAAAATGACCATACCAATATTACAAGTACAACAAAATATGTACTTTGAAATACAGCATAGAGGATTTAAAATTTGAGTATTCAAAAGACTGAAGACTAATTGTCAAAAATTGAATGTAAATTTTTGCTTTCAAATGCAGTGAGTACTTACTTTAAATACATGAAACAAATCAAAGTATTTTTCATCAAAAAGTTCATGTAAGAAAAAACAGCATTTCATGATTTTGAGGAATAATTACTCCGAAGGGCAAAGTTTCAAATCTCTATAATTAGATCCTTTGGGTGCTGTAGCAACTTCTAATAACTTGTATCGATACTGTCCTTGTTTTGCTAGCTGAGCTTCAGGCCCATGTAATGCTCGAGTCTTAAAATATAATTATAATTGATTAGTAACAAATATTTATATTTCCCTCTAAAAAAAGAATATGAGTATTATGCTTTACATTATCTTAGTTTGATTTTAATGCATACACAATTTATGATGCATTACAGAATATAAATCAGTTATCTCATAGCATAACAGCACATTCTAGTAGCTTAATTTCTTAATGTTAATGCTCCATCATATCACATGCTGTGATTGCTTTCTATTTTTCATGCCAGTGTTACTTATGAGTTGAAATCCTAACAGAAACTACATATCATTGCTAATATTTCACATCTTACTGTGATAAAATACACAAAAGTAGCTGTTATGTGAATTATTTTACACACTATTTATGCGTGTGTGTGCGAGATTATAGCAAAGCCTCGAGGGCTATCTGCCTAAGGGGAGGACTTTCTAAGGGAAACTGGCTCATATGCATGTTACACATGTGGAAAACCATGAAAACGCCCATGCAGCCAGCCCGTTCGCGGGATTCAAACCTCGGACCGAACTACCAGTGTTCAGCGACTTTACCGCTCGGTCGCTGGTAGGCACACACTATTTATGAATTCAACTACTGTTACACTTTTTTTCAAAAATAAATGGATATTTCTACAATAGATTTCATAAAAATGAAATGATGTGAACAGAGAATTTTCCCTCACAAATTTCTTAATAGAGGACTTCTACAGGAATATGCAAAAAATGCCCATTATGTTTCTTCTCCAAAAACTGATCACTAATAAAATTCCTGCATTAAGTAATTTTACAGCCACTAATTATTAAGAGATAAAGGTCATTGATGAAAAATTCTTCTAAATAATGTGCAGCTCTGAATCTTGTTTATTTAGTATCAGGAAACTCCTGCAGTTTTATTTATGATAAATACCATAACATAATAAAAATGGAAGCAGTAAAAAAAATTAGAAAATTTCATTGAATCACGATAAGCAACATTTTGTTTTATGACTTTTTGCCATCTCCCCACAGCTAGAAAATTCACTTTAAAGTTATTAGGTTTATTCGTAAAGAAATTTGTGGCAGATTATTCCCCAGGCAGCAAAAAATTCCATGGTATTTGAACAATCCACCAACACCTGCTGCACACAAAGTTTGGATGGACAGAACTGCACACACAGCCAGCGTAAGAGTGCAAGAAGGATCTGCAGAAATAAAAATGAGACAGGCAAGGTCTAGTGAATACGGACAGGGACAAAACATCCAGGCCATATTCAATCAGTCTTGGTCAGACATTTATGTAAATGTGAGATTGATCATTCTGATGATAGACTCCCATGACTGGTCAGTTTGGGGCACTTTGATTTCTGTTTTTAAAACTGCTATTTCGGAACAGCATTTTTCAAATTTTATTGTTCAGTTTTATGGCAACAATTCATAGTATACAATTCTTTTACAGTCCACCAAAGACAAAGCATTACTTTTTTGGGATGCAGCCCCCTCTTAATATTAAAGGAGGTTCTTTTAGATTAATCAGTGTTCTTTTTCTTGTAACATTACTGTATAGTATGCACTTCTCAACTCTGGTAATCAGCCTTTAAAAAAAATTTGCTTTTTTCTTTTGTTTCAGCAAATCATACGAAGAAACTCCAGCAAGCATATTCTGCTCAGTTCAAGGTATGAGGTGCCCATACACTGTAGTAGCTTACATACCCATTGTTCATCAAATGTTCATGTATTGTACTTTTGGAATATTTAAGTGTATCTGTTAATTCCTGAGCTGTATAGTCTGGATTTTCAGTGATAAGATTCTTTTAATACATTATGAGCGGGTATTTGTACCCGTTTTGCAGATCGTAGACTGCAAAAAATATGTTAATACATCCTTGTTTACAGAGGATGGTTGTCCATAGCTGGCATCATCTTAGAGGCTGAAATTTCCAAACTTGCACTTCTTAAACTGTCATAGACACAGTATTTTGTCCATTCAGTACAAATTTTATGAGTAGTCTGATTAGCACTTTTTCTTTTTCGAAGTAAAAGAAGCATAATATGATGAAAATGAACTTTTGTGTTTTCCATTCTTAGTACTGCACAGAAATAAAAATTACGTCACTCCATTCTTAGTACTGCACGGAAATAAAAATTACGTCACAACACATGCTAAAATTATTCAAAGTGAGCAGAAAAGTGTGTGTTTAAACATCCAGTTCAATGAAGGTCACTCATCAGCAGTAACAAAAATAATTAAAAGAATTCGATTTGAAGAAAATCACAAAATTTTCTGAATGACCTAATACTTACATCGACCCAAAATGCTGTTAAAACAGATGAGAAGCTGAAGTGCTTCATAGAGTTTGCAACAGTGCATCAGAGGAATTCTTAGTTTTTGAGATAAATCATTACTCTAGCCAAAGTGCATCAGAGCCCTAAGTAAGATGAGCTCTGGCACTTTTGTTTATGAAACTGAACCAAAATTTCAGCAGAAAATGTTTTTTGATCTTCTAACATTTTATTTTAGCAAGAAGTAAAATTTGGAAATTAATATTAACTCCCAAATACACAGCTTTTACTTCGAAAATGAAATCATGGCAGGAAGTTGAAACGTTTAAGGGGGGGGGGAAATCCCCACAAACATCAATTAGCCACTAGAAAATGTGTTAAATTTACAAGAGTTTTTTTGGGAATGGGTAAATTTTTTGCATTCACCCTCATTGCCAATAGTATCCAATGGCCTCAATACTAGCAGTTTTAGTTATCTGCAATGCATGGCAGCATGGGGAAGGAGGTTTTCTAAATGCACAGCAAGTAACTAAGGGTTTAACATAATAAAATGCTAATCTAAATAATTCAAATAAGTCCAACACTAATTCCTATGGAAACAAGCATCAACCTATGTAACTTAATATAGAGGATAAAAATGGTCACTTACACATTCACAGCATACATATCAGCCTTCAAATTTAAAAGCACATTTGCCCCCTTTCACATGATCTGAGTGCTAGCTATAATAATATCAGCATGAGGATCTTGGTCAGAGAGAGTTTTATTCTTCTTTATCTTCATATCTACATTTTCCATGAAAATTTCTATGTCCTTGTATTTTTCCTAATATTACCTTCACTCTCATTAGTGAGGATTTAAACATAATACTTTTTTTTTCACCTCAGTGCAGGAAAAAGAACGATGTGCATTCTATCATCCCTCAGATTAGTATTATAAATTTAGTAGGTGTTTACCACAGCCTGCTTCTGATATTTCTTTGTTGTTAAGTGAAACTCATTCCTGATGAAACCCCAAATAAGTTTGTAGAGATATTAGGTATTTTTTGGAAGCTGGAAAAGTGAAAAATGAGCAACTCTCCTGCTGAGAATCGAACCACGGACCTCTGGAATATGCGCCCAGCGTGCAGACCACTACACTATGATGGCATGCTAAGAAGGTGGGAGAAATACCTTATATACTCCCCCTTTTAAAGGGTGACTGGGGTTTTTAGGGGACTCAGTCACCAAATCCTGGGTGTGGAGAATCATCATCCACCACCCTTTTAGTTCGGGTGCCACAGTAGAGGCATTTGGATCGAGGCAGGAGAGATGAAAAATTAGCAACACCCCCACCCTCACCGGGAATCGAACCACAGACCTCTGGAATATGGGCTCAGCATGCAGACCACTACACTAAGAAGGTGGGAGAAATACCTTATTAACTAATTGTGGTTAAATTAAATTTTATTTAAAAATTTTTATTAATTTATTCACATTTTATTTAATTTTAACTATTTTTTTCACCTTTCCTGATGGCTTGCCATAAGGCTCAGGTACTTCCAATTTTCAAAACTTTATTTTCTTAAACTTCATATAACTAAGGACAATTTAAATTTCACCATTCATTTGCCTTTTATCACTAAATACAATCCTCTCTTTTCTCCGAGCCGTAATTATGAAACGCAGCAGTAGCAGAGTGTTCAAATATATAAACAAATTATCAAAAACTGGAGCGAAAGAAGCATATTATTTATGAATAGCAATACAAAGAATATGAAAATCAATAGGTGATAAAGCCATGCCTGACGGCTATACAAGTCAGTACTCAGTTGGACATGGAGCCTATTAAGTTGCCAATGTCCCTCAGCAGTAGTTAGTGAGTTGGGACGTATTTGTATACAGCTGAATTTGCCCACCCAACATGTCCCCAAAGTTCTGGAGTCATGGCAGTTGAGGACATTAAGATCTCAGAGATATAGTTGGGAAAGTCATGCTGTATGGGCCAAGCACTGTCCTTCTAGAAAACAATTTGGGTAACCTGCTATTTTAAAGAGTACAATCAGCTGTGAAATATTGTCAATGTACTTGGAAGCAGTGAGAGTACCTTGCAACATGATTAATGATGAGTGGCTGTCCCAGCTGATCGCTCCCCAAACTGTCACAACCTCTGTTTTGGCTGTGTGCTACTTGGTAATAAATGGTCATTAGACTGCTCACTTCTGCATCACCAGACATATATATGGTGGTCATCAGAGAGAGAAAAGCATGATTCATCACTGAAGATCACATTTTTTCAATCCGACACTGTCCAGCTGAGTGAGAGCAGCACTGTGAAAGATGACACTGCTGATGGTGAAGTGTCTATAGCAAGCATCTTAATGGACATTGAGATCTGAGCCCAGTGTCACTTAGGCTTCTGTGAACCACATCCCTGGATATCCTGGGATTTCTTCTAGTTAGGAAATTGTGTTAACTCGATATTATTGATTCAATGCAAGCAGATGTGGCAGCTCTTTTAACTGTGTGATCATCTTGCACATTGGTGGGCCGGGGACATCCTGAGCCACTATACAAGCTGACTATGTCTTTTGCTTAGCCACTGGTTCCTGTAACATACAACAACCATAATGCTTTGACCAAATACTGGTCTGCTTGACAAATTAGCTTCTTTTAGCCCTGTGATGTGACTTTTCTCAAAGCCTGATAACTGTTCATAATGCCATCAAGTACATCTTAAAGGCATCTTTCTTTTCAATGTCGTGTATCCAAGCCATCAGCATGGCTGTAAATGCTCATCACTCACTGCACCTACCCTTTTACATTCTATCAGCTGTGCGTTTCAGATGCACATTACATCACACCACACAGGCAATTGGTGCTGCAAATTTAATCATTTAAATAACTCGCCAAGCCACATTTGCATGCCATGTTTTGTATCTGTGGCTCAATTGTTTTCTGGGTGCATATATTTTTTTGCAACAGAGTGTATTTGTTTCTAAAAATTTCACTTTAGTGAGATATGTACCCTTTATACTTTATCAACAAAATGATATTCTTAGAGTAAAAAACAAAATACTTATCTTTCTTAAGAATTTATAAAATTCTTCACAGATACAGTTTTGTATGCATAAGAAAAATATGCAGATCATTAAAATTCAGAAAACACTTCTGATATTATAAAAAAGAAAAAGTGTGTGTGGGGGGGAGAAGAGTTTTGAGCCCCATCTCTATTTATTTGGTCATGCATTTCAACTACTGCTTCTGCAAATGTTAACATGGACAACACAACTAATGCAGTTAGATTGAATCCCTTGGAAACTGTAGTTAGCACAGAGCAGTTTGTACTAACTTTTAACACTATATTTCTTTGATATATTATTGTACAAATTTATGAACACATCAAGATAATTTTGGAAAAAATTTCTACAGACTAACTAAACCTTTGCATTCCTTATCCTAAAGGTAAATGAGCAACGAATGATGTCAAAAAGCACAAATTCCATGAGACATATTTCTCAACTGTTTAATTAATTAAGGAATTCTTGTTTGGAGAGTAGTATTTTTCAGTGTATCATTATGCTAATACAGTCAATTTTGTTTAATTGGGACAGCTACTTTGTTAGGCCAAATCACAAAGAGTGGAAACAAACAATACATAATTTAAATACCTAATTGGAAGAAGTTTTCTTTTAAATGGGACAGATGCAAGAAAGGAATTTAGCAATGTTTTATTTTCGAGATTTTTCAAAAATATATCAACAATACGTTAAGTAAATATTTAGCAATACTAGCATTAATGCGAATCAGTTACCAACCATTGTGCATCTGATAAGTATGCATCTGCTTAAGAGTCTACCATTACTATATACAGTGTCAGTTTTATTTACAATTTTTAATCCTTCCTGAGATACAGAGAAATGATTTTACACTTTCAAGTAAAATTGCTGGATAAAATTAAATGCCAGCTATTGAATTTAAACCATTGTAAACTTTGATATAACTGACATACCAAAATCTACCACAACACTTTTCATACAATAAGAAAATTGACTGCACAAGGAGTAAGCATTACAAAGTATAATAGAAAAGATCCAAAAGTTAAAAAAGCATTATATCAATAGCAGCAAGAGAGACTTGAATATCGGTAACCAAATATTGAAAGCAAAGTCATAATATTCTCAACTTATCCCAATTAAATGGAATTGACTGTACTATTAAAATTACAAAATAATAAATTATTACCTTAATGAATCTTTTCACAGCATCTTCATTTACATGATTCATTTCCAATTTACAACCCCATGCTACTAAAGCCAGTGGCTAAAAGAGAATAAAAAGCAATGCATTAATAAAATTGCATATCATTAATAAAGTAAACTTATACTTAGCATTAAGGATAAGGAACAAAATATTTCAAAACAGATTGATATTTCTTAAACATTTTTATGGGATCAATTTCTTAAATGAATTTGTTATTATTTTAGATTATCAGAAAAGTTTTTAAGAATACTACCTCTTTTCAATTAAATGACAGTTTACACACTATTCAACACTTCTTAGCAATATACTAGTATGGGAAGCACATAACCTTTATCTCATCAATTTTGTATAACTATAGACTTAAAAACTGGATTTGTATTTGAAGGGAAAACTTGTATATCTGCTAATATATCGATCTATTAACAAGAAGTTATTCCTGATAAGTATCTCAGGAACAATATCACAGTATTTTTATATACAAAAAAGTCTCCATAGATACACAAACGTGTCTTTTCATTCACAATTATCAAAACATTCTCTTCTTATTTTTTCTGCTCTTTAACTAATAAACAAAAATAGCAGAAAGGTGAAGTCCAAATTCCCATTTTGGGAACTTTCTCTTTCAGTCAGAAGACCACTAAAAGAGCTTACCAAACATTTGGACTCATTCTCATGGGAAAAGAAAACCATTAAGTGGAAACACGTACTGTAATAATAAAATAATTCGGTACTTTTCCATTTTGCCAGCGCAAACGATAAAGTCGCCAAAAATTGTACGATCGAAGCCAAACAGAATATCCTCGCTTTTGTGCCTCATTTTCAAAACAAGTCTCAGCCATTTCTTATCAGATTGATTGTTTCTTTGAATACTGGCATACAATTACATAGAATTTTTACCCAGATAGTTTAATTTTATGTCCTAAGGCCATTCGCGGCAGTTAGTCAATTAGGATACAATGGCATTGCTCATCTGAAGATTAAAATATAGAAAATATAAAGTCGAGGCTTAAATTCATCAGTTCTAATGAGAATGCACTAGCGAAGTAAAGCACTGCGGTTTTACATAATTTCCCAGTAAGCTATTCGTACGAATTAAAATAATTCTTGCATTTACATTTGTATTCCAAATTAAGATTTAACTTGAAATTAATGCAGATAATTACTGAGAGTTTGTAGCGTAGTTTACGTGAGATGAGATCACTTGGGATCACATGATATGAAACGGCGAATCAGGATGTTATACCATGAAACCATCTAGTGAATTCTTAAATTAATGTCTTTTTACAAATTTATCAACTTTATTTATTGTCTTTTTTTACAAAATTTTAAACCTATTAAAATGTTTATGCCTTCAAAATAAAAATGTCTTAGAACTAACATTCGTTAAAATTTTTTATGTGTATGCTATGTGTTGTCACCAATAAAGTCTGCTTGGCGAGATTTGCGCCGGCGAAACGGAAAAGTATCAACAATTCCTTTGCCATAGGTGGCACTTTGGGGAAGTCCAAATTAGTTCCTAAATTATATCTCCAAGAACCCTGTAATATTATATGGTTTCATAAAAATGAAGACTGCAAAGTTAATGGCATCAAGACTTTTATTTCTGGACTAAAATCCAAAATGAAAACTATTTACAACTAAAATCACCAAAGAACATCTTTAACATATTCACGTAGTGTATCAGGAACTCATTTCCATAAGGCTAACAGTTACCTACAGAAATGAAAAATCTTCTTTTTGTCCAACGTGCCTCTCTTTATATTTGTGCACAATAGAATGCCCACAACTGACACACAAATGCTGTCATAGAATGCATGGAGAAACACCATATTCCCCTCTCTCTAGTTCACATTTTCAACATAGTAAGACAGTGAGAAAAAGTTTTGTTTCCACTTTGAAGGAAGAAAATTAATCACGACAATACTTGTTTACCATTCCATCACTCCAGAAGCTTGTTGTGCACAGATATTTGCAGAAGAAATTTGTAATTTTGGGGAGCTGGTGATGGGAATGTATTAAAATATTTAGTTTCCTTATTATTAGAAATTAAAACACTTCTCCTTGAGGATTCCATTAATAGACTACTAACCACTAATAGACTACAACTGGACGATCAGCATATCCAAAAATTTTATTTCATGGTAGCTATTATGTCTCATCTAAATAATGTTAGTTGTATACTACAGGGTAAAAGAACAATTATTTCAATATTGGAAGAAGTTATTTAATTCGAAAACAAATAATCTCTTTTTGCTCAAAATTTGGAAAGGGAAACTAATTCATTTTCGAAGCCTCCTGAAACAATGCCAAGGAAATGACTAGGTAATTGGCATTTACTATTTAAAAAGAACAATTTTAAATATGAAGGAAGCTTCAGAAATTTAAGGAAACAGAAATTTAAGGAATTCAGAAACAGCACAGCAGTTTTAGCACAGCAGTTTCTACATATTCACGCAAACTTACTAAAACTAAATTCTGAACCTTACTAAAACTAAATTGAGAAATTGTTTTACTGATGAGAACTGAGAATCCTGCTTGAAATTAAAAATGATGGCATACAAACCTGACTTATTATAAACTTTCCAAGAAAATTTCACTTCCAAATGCGGTTCTTAAAAAGAAATTTGGCTATCAAAAGAAATCTTAATTATCATATTCTTTGGCTCTTTTGCCAATCACTGGACTACACAATACACATTCATAAAACATAATATTAGTTTCATATCCTATGTACAAATACGTTTCTGCTGTTTGACAAATGATGGTGCCACTAGTAAGTTAGGTTAAAATTATCTGATGTAAAAACATCACATCATAAGGTTGAGCATCTGCCAACAACAAAACCTCGAAATATTACTGATTTTGTATCAGCATCACATATTTTCTCGTATGAAAATGTCGAGTTTTGAGCTGAATAAGCATCATTTGCTGGAACTTTTGATTTACTTCTTTAATTTGAAGAAATCTGCAATTCAGGTTCATCAACTGCTTGTAGAAGCACACAGTGAGGCTGCCTTGAGTAAGAGAAGTTGCCGTGAATGGTTTTCAAAGTTTAAGTTCGGTGAATTTGACATCGAAGACAAAGAATGTAACAGAAGACCACAAGTGTATGAAGACGCAGAATCGGAAGCATTATTGTATGAAGATTCATGTCAAACCCAAATAAAATTTGCACTTATATTAGGAGTGATTCAACAAGCAATTAATGTAACAGAAGGCCGCAAGTGTACGAAGACGCAGAATTGGAAGCATTATTGGATTCATATCAGACCCAAGTAAAATTTTCACTTACATTAGGAATGATTCAACAAACAATTTCACATCATTTGAAATCATTTGGAATGTTTCAAAAGCACGGAAGTTGGTTTCCATATGAACTCAAGCAAAGAAAGGTTGGATGCTGAATTTTACAAGTGAAATTCTGCTTGCCAGGCATAAATAAAAGTTTTTTTTTTTTTTCATCAACAGTCACTACTAGTGATGAAAAATGTATCCACTATGATATCCCAAAGAAGAAATCATGGGAACCACCTGGCCATGCTTCAACATTGACAGCCAAGCCGAGTGTCCATGAAAAAAAAAAATCAGGTTGTGTATATATGGTGGGATCACCTTGGTTGCATGCATTATGAATTGATGGAACTAAACAAAAACATGACTGAGGCTCTCTATCAAACACACCAGATGAGACTGGGCCAAGCATTCAAGAAAAATGTGACCACTACTATTCCAGATGTGACATTTTTCATTTTTAGCAAGTTTCAAGTTTCCTTTGAAATTGGGCCTGAAATACCTTTACTTGAAAAAGACTCCTTCAGTTTGATTTTCTGTTAACTTATTAGCTGTTTGGTTTCTTAGTAAGTGTCTGATTTACTTTGAATAACCACCACCTTTGTGATTATTTGTTTGAAACCTCCTTCCTCTACATGTGCCAAAGGTAACTGAATTGGCAAATGGTTGTTTTATTCATTTTCTCTTGTTAACATCATAGCAATAATGAATTCTTTTTGCAGACAACATCGATAGAGGATCCAGAGTCATATAACACTAATAAATTTAGACTGTTCACTTTAGTCATTATTGTGTATGGCAGAGTATTCTTCCTCCATCTTTTCCATTCTGTTTACAATAATTGAGATCTTCTATCCATGTCCTTCTGTAATGTCGAGCATTGTAGCCAAGTGACCACAAGGTTCCGGTTTCTCAAAGCGATATTCATTCCGATTTCAGAAGGATTTTTTAAGGCATATTTAGCCTTTGTTTCCAGATTGATTATATTTTTTGGGCCTCTGGAACTTAACTGATTCTTATTGCCCTTTTATGACTCTAAATGGACTAGAACTTCTCCGGTATTGAATTGGCATGAACTTTTCTGGTATCCATGTTTGTTTTCATAGTCTCTATAAAAGTTCTGCTATTTTAGTTTGAGAAGTTATCTTTGATCATTTATCAATATAAACTGCTGACACACTTCAAAATTTAACAGTTATCATAAAATCTTTTAAAAGTTCTAAACCTTTAATTTCCAAACCTGTGATTAATTTTTGAAAACAATTCTTTAATTTAATGATAAAATCCCTCCAAGCATTGGAGGTGAAAAGGGAGGACTGCACAAATTTAATGCAAAATTTTTCTGGACTCAATTTGAATCATTTAAGCAATATAACCCTTTTATGTAGACCTGCTGTTCTGGCTGTTGCATAATCAGCTGAACTTTATCATTTAGCAAAAGCATCAATAAAACAGGAACCCATTCAGATTGGTTCATATTCACATGCTTAACTTGGCACTCAGACATTATTAGATGCAGACTATGAATTGAAAGCCTAGAAGATCATTTTGATCATTTGAGTTGAAAGCCTACAATATCATTTATTCTTTTTGGAGGTCAAATGTTTTTCTGCTTTTTAAGTTCAAAATGATTTTTCTAGGTTATCTTTCTTCACTCCCAGCAATTAATAGATCATTTTTCTTACGGCCCGTAGTTTCAATTCGGTTACTTTGAATTCTCTTGCCTCTCTCCTTATTCTATTCTGCCTTTCTTCTTCTCTCCTAATTCTACCTTCCTTTTTTTCCCCCTCTCAAGCCTCACCAAAGTAATATTTTCCAAAAGCCTTTTTTACAGGTTTCTCATTACAAGCTTTGTTACTCATAATGTCTTAGCTCAAGTCTGACTAAGCTCAGGTCCGACCTTTCCCCTAACTCTTCATCTAAGGTTTCAAAATCCCCTTTACTGGCTTGTGCTAACAATGCTTTTATATACCCATAACGTATAATTAAAATCTAACTTCTCCTATTAATAGCAAATTCCAAATATGAGGAGTAAAATTTAATAACAACTATAAATTGATCTAAAACACAATTTTAAGACAATGTACACTATCATATGCATATAATTTTAATTAATAAAACATGAGGATTTATGGATAATACAACAACACTTTACAAAAATTTCCGTCTCTATTAATTTATGCATTCAAAGACAGATTTTAAAAAATCCACTTCTTAATGGATGAGAATTCTGCACTTCTTTACACGAAAATATTTACATACATGGGACGGTCCAACAAAACTTTAAGATACTGATGATCTTCAAACACTGACTGTACACTTCAGTATCCCAGACTGATGCCCAAATTCTCTGTATAATAAACACAAGATTTTTCATTTGATGATAAATTTGAAAACTGCTTCTGTGACTGCTCATTCATTGCTACTATTTTATTTACAGTAGTAATGTCTAAACCTTCCAAAATTGAAGCAACAACATGCATTTTTTGGGTAAATTTTTATTAAAAACTTAATAATTATATTTCATATTAGCCATCTCAGAAACAATAGCATGGTATTTTTATAGACACAAAAATTTTCAGAAATGAAAATGCATCTTTCATTCCAGCTCTCAAAACATTCTCTACTTTTCTTTTTCATTTTACATTCCCCCCCTCCGACTTTTCTTCTCAACTGCTCTTCAACAAGTAAATAAAAGCAGTAGGGAAGTGAAACCCAAACTCCTATTTTGGAAACTTTTCTCTTCCAGTCAGGAAAATGCCTCAAAGGGCTGACTGAACAGCTGGGCTCTATCTGATGAGAAAAGAAATCCATCAATTGGAAACACATGCTATAATGGTACAGGATATTCAATCAAATCTAATAATTTGCCAACTGTAAAGCTGCATAATCAAGCAATCTCCCACTTCTCTTTTCCATTAATTGACAGTGCCTATTATTTACAAATTTATTTTCAAATTTATCACATTTAATCATTTTTAATTTCTACTATGCTCTTTATAGAAATTCCACACTGAAGGTAGCTTTTTTCATAGTGTTTCAACTTAAATGGTCAGAAATCCATGTATAAGTATTCAAATAATAGGCAATATACTGGTGAAATGTTCATTAAAATAAAATAGTAATGCCTTACCTTTTCAGCTGAAAGGTACATATAAGGTGTAATAACATGCCTTCGTAAACATCCTTTCACCAATTGTCTTAATTTGTCAACTTCAAGAGGCTCAGCACAAGGATGATACAACATAACAATTGCACCATGCTAAAAAAGGGATTTTTGTATTAAAATAATATAAAAGCACAACAAAAACTGAAAAAAGTTCAGGTACAAATTAAAAAGAACAAATAATAAATATATACAGACACACGCACGAAATCAGTAACATAAGCTTCAGTTAACAATCATGAAAAACCTTACTAAATACCTTTAATAACTTTACTAATTCGATTCAAAGAACTTGCATTCTTGAGCTATTTTAAATCAATAATGAAACCACATTGCATAATGCACAAAATCTGCAGCCTAAATGCCAAATATGTAAAAACTTTTTAAAATACAAAACATATTTTTATATTTTAGAAAATATATGTATATCTATTACAGTCAAAAGTCGTTAATTCGGACACCCATAATCTGGATTGATCTATAATCTGGACCTCAAAGCTAAAAACTTTCTGCGCATGCGCAGCATTGGCACATGCGCATAGGCGTTTTACGCGTGCGCATAAGACCTTGACTACTGCGCATATGCGTGTGCGCAAGTGTAGAATACGTTTCTGCCTGCGCGTTTAATGTATAACGGACGGTGTAAGCTAAAATTATCTAATTATCTATTTCAGTTAATGTTAATGATGAGTGTTCCTTAATCTTCGAATTGGATCCCGCTTATTATTTTTTGCAGACTGTAAGAGCAATTTTATATAAAAAAGTAAACTTGAACTTTCGATTATGCCAAATAGAATTCCTGATGCTGGAACTTCCAAAGGATCTACAAAACGAAAGTATGTTTCGTTTTTGTAGTTGTTTCATTCATTTGTTTGTCAACAAACAAAAAGTGAATTGCTTGCAAAAAATGGATAAAGACAACCGAAGAAACAGAGAGGTTAGTTTGAAAAAAAAATTTCGATTGAACAAGTTAGTCGGTATTTCTCAGCACAGCAATTAATTAACGGGACTTGAACAGCGGAACTTTGTAACTAAACAAGAAATTATTCTGTTTATAGAATTAAAGAAAAGAGAAAGTATTAGCACAATAAAACAAAGCAACTTAAACAACTTACATTGAAGAAAATGTTTAATAAAGTAAACAAATAAATATTAAGCTTTTTCTTTTTGTAAATTTTGATACCCTTAGATCATAATTGTTCTTTATTTCATAAATTACGGTTTCATATTTTTATTTTTTTAGAATTTCTGCATGCCATCTTACAGATTTAAACTGATGATCTATAATCCGGAAAAATCGTTAATCCGGAAACGCCGAAGTCCCGACGAGTCCGGATTAACGACTTTTGACTGTATTTCATTACAGTCAAAAGTTGTTAATTCGGACACCCATAATACGAGATGATCTATAATTCGGAAATCAAAGCTACAAACTTTCTGCACATGCGTCGCATTGACGCGTAAGACCTTTACGGCTGCGAATATGCGTGTGTGAGTGCGCAAAATACGTTTACAAATGCGCTTTTAATGTATAACGAACGATATAAGCTAAGCTAAAATTATCTAATTCAGTTAATGTTGCAGATTGCGTTGTTCCTTAATCTTCGAATTGGATTTGGCTTATTATTTTTTGCAGACTGTTAGAGCAATTTTATAAAAGTAAGCTTGAACTTTCGATTATGTCAAATAGAATTTCCGATATATATTTACTAATATGTAAAGGATCTACAAAGCGAAAGTATGTTTCGAAGTCCATTAAACAAAAAAAAGTGGAATGCTTTGCAAAAAATGGATAAAGGCATATCCTTTGTTTATCTAAACTTTAACGTTTGTTTATCTAAACTTTGTTATCTTTAACGAAGGGGGCGCGCGCAATGAATTGGAAGTTGATCTGTCAGCACTATCCTTATCTTCAGAGCAGATGTTTTTATTTTATTTGGCTTATAATTCCTTACTAAATGTAGTATTTCATCTCGATGTACTCCGTCTTTGATATGATTTAAATCAAATTCCTCGTCATTATAATTCGCTTCCGATAGCGAAGAAAGTGACAGAGGTTATTGAAAACGAAAAAATTTCGATTGACAAATTAGTCGGTTTTTCTCGACACAGCAATTATAGGACTTGAACAGCGGAACTTTGTAACTGAACAAGAAATTATGTCTGTTTATTGAATTAAAGAGAATGTATCATCACATGAAAAATGAAGCAACTTAAACAACTTACATTGAAAGAAATGTTTAATAAAGTAAACAAATAAATATTAAGGTTTTTTTTTTTTTTTTTTTTTTGTAAATTTTGATACCCTTTAGATCATAATTGTTTCTTTATTTCATAAATTACAATTTCATATTTTTAATTTTATAATTTCTGCATGCCATCTTACCAGATTTAAACTGATGAGCTATAATCCGGAAAAATCGATAATCCGGAATCGCCGAAGTCCCGACGAGTACGGATTAACGACTTTTGACTGTATTTGATTATTTATCTGATTATTTCACTTGTTCAATCATAGATGCTGAATGAACTTTGCAGTAAACTAATGGGATTTTATCTGAAAGATCACATAAAACAATCCATAAAAATATACTTTTATACACATATATTTTCATCATACTTTGTATACAGATGTACAAAAATTAATTATACCGATTCCGGTTTAGTGAAAGATGTACAAAGCTCTTACTTACCACTCTTGCTCCAGGAATATTTATTATACATGTATTAAATTAATTTAAAATCCCAAATTTAGTTGCCAATTTAATAAAAACATTTCACATGGCAACAGCTGTCAAATAGTACTACCAAATATTATTTTCATCCCAGAAATTAGTTGAAGCTTGATTTTGCTGAAATTATAAAAAAATTCTGCAAAAAATTTAAAAATACTTCTTTCAATAAATGCTTTTTATCTTCAGCAACTTTACAAAAAGCATGATACAATAATACATTTCAAAACAGTAACAACCACTTAATTTGCTGTAAACGTGGAATCAAAAATATGCTATAAATTCATGAAATTTGAAATATCAAAATTTATTTAAAACATTTTATGAAAACATTCAAGCTGAATATTTAAACCTATTACCATAATTTCCGGAAGAAATGTCGCAGCGTTTAGGTGTTTAAAACTTAAATTTTCAGCATGTGCAGCATTTCTACCCATGCAGCGTTTAGGTGCACAAAAAACAAAATATTTTCTATGATGGTCATTGTACATAGTTTGGATGGCCTTGTCATTGTACATAGACTGGTGCTGTTCCTACACTCAGTTGCTTTTTTGCAAACGTTATTTTGTTTACATTCTTTCCCTTGAACAGACCTACATGCCTTATTCACCCTAAACGGGATCTCAGAACAATAACATTCTTATCAGTTTGAATAGTCTCTCTCCTCTGCCATTTGATGAATCTTCCAGGACCCATCCTCTCCCCACCCCCCTTTTCTGCAATTTTTTTCAAAGGCAGACACGACTCCACCTGCCTTGCAATAACAAACTCTGATGTATTTCCCCTTCATTTTTCTTGGCATTCTGCCAGATATAAATCCCATCAGTTTGGGTACAAGTACTTTTTGGATAGTTTTTAAGTAAGAAGGGAGCGGAAAATTTTTAAAAATATCACCGGCACAGAAGCTATACTGCTGGTTTTAAGCTTAATGTAATTTCACGTGCTGAACAAATTGGAAATAGAGCAGCAGCTCAAGAGTTTGAAGTGGACGAGAGATGTATTCGACGTTGGAGAACTGAAAAAGAACTTAAAAATATGCTACAACAGAAACGAGCCAAAAGTGGTGGTAAGGGGGCCTAATCTAGAGGACGACCTTGCAAATTGGATAAAGGAGCAACAAAGAGAGGGAATGGCAATTTCGATTGTAAAAATTCACTTACAAGCAAAATTTATAGCAAAACAAATGAGCATAAATGATTTCAAAGGAGGGCCTTCTGGTATAGCAGATTTATGAAAAAAAAAATATATTTCTTTGCGTACTAGAACAACAGCCGGGCAACAATTACCAATGGACTGGCAGGATAAAAAAGCATCTTTTCTAAAATATGTGACAGATATTATTGACAAAAAAAAAAATTCTTCGGTCACAGATAATAAATATGGATGAAACGGCATTAGTTTTCGACTCTCCTGCAAACAGAACTGTTGATGAAACTGGTGCAAAAACTATATCTGTGCTTACGACGGGGCATGAAAGAATGTCATTTACATGTGTGTTAGCTTGTGCCACATATGGGGACAAGCTAAAGCTGATCATCATTTTTAAATGAAAGACTATTCCGAAGGGAGATTTTCCTAATTACGTAATTATTTGTGCAAATGAGAACGGCTGGATGTGCAAAACAATCATGCATGAGTGGCTACAAAAAGTTTGGCAGTGTCGTAAGGGATCTTTTTTCCAACCAAAAGGGTTATTGATAACAGATTCCATGCGTGCTCATCGACTTGAGTCCATGAAAACCAGATATCAAAAATTGTCTACGACCGTAGCAATAATTCCTGGTGGTTTGACAAAAATCTTACAACCATTAGATTTGTCAGGTAATAAATCCTTCAAAGCTGAAGTCCGAAAGCAGTGGGAGTGTTGGACGAGTGAAGGATTGCATACGTATACCAAAAGCGGTAAAATGCATAGAGCATCTTATGGAGAAGTTGCAAAGTGGGTAGGAAGTGCGTGGAAATCGGTAAAAACATTGTCAATAATAGCAGGGTTCAAAGAAGCTGAAATTATATTCTTAGATAAAGAGACTGTAAACCAAGAGGATGAATGTGACGATCTGGAAGACTTAGATCAGGATTTACTAAATCTTTTTAATTCAGATAGTGACAAATCAGATTTTGATGTTTTCATTTGATGTATAGTTTGCTGTAATTCCTCTTGTAAGTAAAATTTGAAATTTCCTTTTGTCATCCAAATTTAATATTTTGTTGTTGCAAAATTTTTTATAATATAGTCTTAGTATTACAAATATGGACTTCTTTAGTGGGTAAATATAAGTATATATGTGAACGTAAATATATTTTCAACATTTCTTACCTTTATTTGTGAGTTATGGTTTCATGTCATGCCTTTTTCTTAACTGATATATCATATATCAGGACTTAGGTTGAGATTCTGGATCTATATGGCCCACGATGATGTCATGCGCAATTTAATCTATTGCGGCGTTTACGCTGATGCAGCATTTCTGTGTAATTTTTAATTTTTTCCCCGCCATTTTTCTCAAGTGTGGCATTTACAAGGATGCGGCCTTTCTTCCGGACATTACGGTAAACTGTTAATGATTATATTACCTCAAGATTATGTAACCAACGTTGAGGAGGAACATAAACATACTCTCCATAGACTGGCCACAATGGTCGGTGATTCCCACTGCAAATTTAAATTAATGTAAAAAAATACTAGACAGAACTTTATTAAATCGTACAATATAGAATTATGAAAACAGAACTTTTCTTATAATATTCGTTTTGAAATGAAACAAAATTTTGATTTACCTTAAATAACAGAAAATTTAACCACAATTTCCTAGGTAAACGTTTGGCAAAGAGTAAAGCAAATTTCAACCGAAAGAAATAGCAAACATTTTTTAAACATGTTACAGAAATCATTGTTTTCTAAGACTAACTGTATGTGATGTACATGCTGTATCTGAAGTTCTAACACACTGAAAAAAATCTGCCGAAATGGTGGAATTAACAGAAAAGTACTAAAATTCCATCTGGTTCAATAAATATCCTGTACCCTCTACTTAAATTTACAAAAAGATCAGATTAACAGTTTTTTAATTATTAATGCATTATTATATTTTCTTTTAATATTTTTAATCACTTTCCCTTGCATCTATATTAATTCATGACTCTTTAGTCTTCAGATCACAGTATTCATGCTATGATGGAAATCAGAATATGAATAATTTTATTACAAGAAATAATCACATTTCTGGATAATATAATAAAATAATAAATTTTTACCTAAATCTTTATACTAGCATCAGTTAAACTCTTATATTAGCATCCATATTCATTTTTTACAAAAAATAAGAAATCAGTATTTATAGCTAGAGTCATACAGTGCACATGCTACAGAAATCAGCAACTTTAAGTATTTATTTTGTCCTTTAGTACAGGAATTTTTTACTGACAATGTCTTATATACATTATTAACATTTTAAACGTTGTTTACAAAAATAATTTTTAAAAAAAAAATAAAAGGCAGAAACAAACTCACTAAGTTGGTATAAGATCATCATATTCAATCTTCTCATTCAAACATACATGTTTAGACTACAAATAAAGGAAAAAACATAAAATGTCTGAAATTTGTATAACTTACTGCTACATCACATTTATCATTCAAGTATAAACTATAACCTTTCATTTATAAAATCTTAATTTGAGTAGATATTATTAGGTTTTCAAAAATATGAAAAATCAAACAAAGAAGTTCTATGCTACAATTGATTAAAATGCACTTGACAAATACGAAATGTTGAATAATGAGAGGAAATTCGCTGATCATTTGCTGTTACATTTCAATATTTGGAATAATCAAAATAAAAAGCATATCAAAAACATACATACTGGATATAAATTAATGTTATTAAATTGAAAATGTGTCACTTAAATGAAAAAAAAAAAAAAAAAAAAAAAAAAAAAAAAAAAAAAAAAAAAAAAAAAGGCTAAAAAAAAAAAAAAAAAAAAAAAAAAAAAAAAAAAAAAAAAGGCTATTAGGAGTTAGAAGTATTTTACACTATTTATACTTAAATTATTACTCACACTTTCTTCATTTATAAATCATATATTCATCAGAATGAATAAAGATTTTACACATATTACGTATAAAATCTTTATTCATTCTGTATTTTTATGCCATAAAAAATGCTACAAAATAAGTGAAAAATATCTTTCTTCCTCATTCTTCTTTACTTTCCATGAGCAAGAAATAATATATCATGCAAATATACATTTGATATTTAGAATCAAATATAAGATTCTATTGAAAATTTAATATTCAAATAATATTTTTATTGCATTATAATTAAAATACATATTTCAGTTAATTTTGAATTTACTTAACTTCATACATATATACACAAGCTATAATATGATTTACTCCAACTATCTTAGAATAATATGAATAAATACCCTCAAGTTTTAAATGCTTGAAATTTTATGATTTCAAACCTTATTGATACTATAGCTATACTACTATTTAACCCTTTGTGGCGCACTATACGTTAACGTCGGAATTTCAACAAAAAAAAGTTGTATGCAGTCTTTTTAGTCCTAAAATAGTATACAGGTAAAATTATGTAAAAGATGCACTTACCGTTTTAATTCTGTGAGTGTTCCATGAGGTGGAACACTGCGCCGCCAGAGCTTTTAAAAGTGCGACTAAGCGAGCATTGCAGTGAAGCATGAAAATGAGTAGAAGCGTTTGTATAAGAATGAAAAACTCTGCATTATGGCTGTATACATGGTTTCCTGGATATACACAATATTCTTGAATATATACGGATAAATGAGATAAATATCTATATACACAAGTCCTATATACAAAAATGTTTATAAATTTTTGGAAAGAGTTAGACCTCTCCATGCCATTTATGGAAAATTAATAATAAAAAATTAACTACGAGTAATATTAACAATAAAGAAAAATAAGCCTATAATATGTACATACACGAAAAATATCTACACAATTATTGAAAATAAACGGGAATGAGACTAAAAAGCGACAGCAAAAAATTCGCACAGGTCTAAGTAAAGATGAGTCAAGCTACTGATAAAATTCCTGCCTAAAAACTACTCCAAAAAAATTCGAGATGCCAATATTAGGGCTTTCATAACATAAAACACACCTCACCCCTCACCCCTCAATACTGCTTTGTTTCAATTCCTTCCCCCCAAAAAAACAATGGAAATAGAAAACGTAAACAACAGATGTACTCTCCTAAGCACAGATGTTCTGATTCATAACAGCATGAGATTGCTAAAGGAGCAGTGTTCCTGCTAATGGAACACCTGGTTTTATTCAATGATTCTGCATATCGTTTTTGTATGAAAGATTAAAAAAAATATAGAACAAATAATTTGGAGTACAGCCAGCAAAATTATGCCTAATTTTTTTTTCCAAATAAAATTTTTTATATCATTAAAAAAATAGAGAAATTACTTGAAAAAAGTGGATTTTAATAACATACAATAAATGAAAATTCTGTCTCCCTGTGATATGCTGCTATCTACTGTTTAAAAAGAAAAGTTCAAAGTATATTATAAAGGCATTTTTATCTATTTACGGTTGAATTTAAAGGTTTCAGAAGTGATTCAATTTGGGTGTTCCACGTAGTGGAACACTGAGCCACAAAGGGTTAAAGAAAGTCTCTATAAATCAGAAATGAACAACTAAACAAATTATCAATACTTGTTTTGCATGTTTGTTTTAGTTGGAAGAGTAAAATTTCTTTGAAATAATTAAGTCAAATTATAGACTTACAAAATATTTTTCAGGCAGGTTACATTCCTGTGATGGATTCACAGCCTGTAAAAAATAAGTAAGGACATTATCTTATTAGCTACTTTTTAAAAATATCAAACAGGAAAAATGAGGAAAATTAATATGATGAACATAGTGTTTTATATTTTGAAAACAACTGTTTAATTAAAATATATAGACAATTTAATAAAAAAAAACTCATGTTATATCACATACAATTTTGGTTAATCTTATTTCTCTTTTCAGTAAAGGTATAAATCAATATCAAATGACATAGCATAAACTTATATGTCTACTATTACTACCAGCCTACATCCTGTATTAACTCATGCTAGTCTGCTATATGACAAAATTGAGAGCTCCTTATACAAATCTTTAATATTGTCTTATCAAATTTGTTTCCAAATAAATTAAACACAGATTATATTACAAACAATAGTTTGACTGTATTTCCATGCACTAGTATAAAGTGAATTGCTTACCCATAGCCTAGATCAGTAAATATTGCAATGCACATAAATTTTTATATTATTATAAATGTTTTTGAAAGGTAGGTTAAAAACTTAACAGCAATAAGTATTGCAATTTATCAGAATGTTTACTTACAGTTCTTAATGACTAAAATATAACAGTATCAAGTAAAAATCATGTACTTTATTTTAAAAAGCTTTTATAAATGTTAGAACAATATTTGAAATTGAGTAAAATTCAACTTTAGATTTGTCTTACAGAAAGTCACATCCTTGAAACACGTGCAGCCTTTTATTAAACATCAAAGGCAAAATTTTACTAATTTTTGAAGTTCAACTTTTCATGTTTCACATGAACCTATACAATATATAGTTCAAGAAATCATATTTCAGTAAGCATTTAATGTAGTAATTACTTTTCCTTTTCTTAAAAAAAGGGAAATTTATTTGAATATCTTAATATTATGATAAACAATTTTCCACTATATTAATAAGGACACAAAATTTCAAAGCCCATGTACATTACAATGATATGGTTTAAACTTTCAGTAAGCATGCAGTATGTAATCTACATTAAAACCCATTGCTTTAATAATTTCTTTTTCCCACCATTTTATCATGTTTGAATTAAAAATAGTGTTTTAGCGCTGCCATCTAAAAAATAAATAAATAATTAAAAGAAATAAATCACATACTACACTGCTGGCCACCCAAATTGCAACACTAAGAAAGACAAGAGATATCACAACAAAATTTATTTAGTAGATAACATGTTGACTAAATGATTAAATTTATAGACTTCTGTGAATCCTTCCAGAATCAGTAGCCAGACTAGCCGCCATTGTTGGAGATCACCGCTGCCACACACCTCGGGATTGATTCAAAGAGACTTTGAATATGCTCTTGGGGTACAGCAAACCAAGCAGCTTCTACACGTTGCCAAAGTTGATCTGATGTGGCAGGTTGGGATGTAATCTGGATCAACCGTTCAGCACCATAGACCACATGTTTTCTATCAGCAAAAGATCCGGAGAGTGAGCTGGCTGAGGAAGCAATTCAATCTGGCAATCGACGAAAAACCCTTGGACAATGCGTGCCACGTGTGGTCGTGCATTATCCTGTTGAAATATGGCTGTGCCAAGCCCTGAAGGTAAGGAAGGACAACTGGCTCCCTCAGAGATGTAGCGCTAGCTGTTCAAAGTACAGGCAATGTGTATTAGAGGAGTGCAAGAGTGATATCCAATACCGCCCCATACCATAATACTGATTGCAGGACCAGTGTGGTGGTGCATAATGCAGCTGTTCAGCATCCTCTTTCCACTGTGTCTCCAGGCTCAAATCAGACCATCATGGTGTTGCAGACAGAAGCGCGACTCGTCAGTACAGATAATTTCATTCCATTCTGCCATCCACATCCTTCTTTCATCGCACTATTGACGGCAGAGACGTCTGTGGTTCTGCGTCAAGGGTAGACGAAGCAATGGATGTCTTGCGAGCAGACCACTCTGCTGTAAACGGCGTTGAATGGCACGTGCAGACACTGGATGATGCATTACAGACTGAATGTGCTGTGGTATGGTTCATGATGTGACTGAGCGATCCATCACTGCCATGCGCACAATGTTCCTGTCATCACGTGAAGTGATGCACTGAGGTGGATGCGATCAAACACGTCGGTCTGTCGTACCTTCCTGCATCTAACGGTCACATATCCGCATTACAGTTGTTTGGTTTAGTCCAACACGACTACCAATTTCCCTGAAAGATAATCCACACTCTCAATAGGCCACTATCCTTCCTCTGTTAAACTCAGATACTTGATCAAACGATGATCGCTGTTTACTACGAGGCATAATTGATCGTTTTTTTGAAAAAAACCACAAGAAAAACACAATTGCCGAACTTGAAATCAGTCGAAAACTCCAAGCCTTAAATAGCACTATGTGATGTGCGTCTGTGCTGAAATTCTAATCATTTGCATATCTCAAGTCCGCTAATGCATGTTGTAAATTTCATGTTATTTGCATGCTTCCTTCAGGGTGTTGCATTTACGGTGGCCAGCAGTGTATATGTTTATCAAACTTTCTTTATACAATAACTGCATGCAATCAAAGACAAATGTTAAAAACTATTTAGAAAACCATTCTAGAATAACTAAAATTCATTTTATATGCTCTGTTGACGCCAAAGGCGCCATCTGTGAAAAATATGTAATATTTGTGTTCTAAAACCATGACGCTGATTTTTTATAGTGCCACCTTGCGGCCACTTGTATTGAGTTTTGAGTGTGTTCTGAGACGCCGCCGAGAGATGTGAACTAACTATGCGGCTTTTTGAGTAATTAATAAATTTTAGTGTACAGTCCCATTTTTGAGTTTTTGTGTAAAGTGATTTATTTAATTATGAGTTTTACTGAGCTATTGACGGGCCCACTATTGGTCCGTTACCGAGCTGGAGCTTCGAATTGTGTGTCAAAGTCGGAAAGACAAGTGTCGTATGGAAGGAAAACTTGCGGATTACTCTTAAATAGAAGGTACGTGGCCTTAATTGTAATAACTGTGTAATTGAAAAAGTAGATTCAAAATGTTTAAAAGTGCAAAAAAAGAAGATTATTAGCGTATTGCTGTAGAGCTGAATTTAAGCATTTCAGAAGCGAAAACTATATCAGATTTAACTGATATAATTTAAAAAAATGGAAAGCTATAAGAAAGATCCTGTATTAGTTGAAGGTATAGCTAATAATATTATCGATGAAAGGAAAAGTGACGAGAGCCATTTGCTTGAGAAATTGAAAACTGAACGAGCGAAAATGGAACTAGAACTCGCGAAGTAGCAAGCAGGATCAAAGAGTGAAAACCTCATAGAATATGAGAAAAGAGAAAATGTAGAATCTCTTGACTCTCTTATTAAAAGTATACACACATTAACAACTAAAATTCCAATTACACCGGAAGGTTGGGGTTATTTCTTTTCATCGTTAGAAAGGGCGTTCATTTCAAAAAGTGTTCCAGAGAAATTTAAATCGGAAAAATTCTTCTAAATTGTTGGGAGATAAAGCCACAAATGTTTATTACATAAATTAAAGACGACGAATTTAGGAGATTATTCTAAGGTTACAGAAATAGTACTAAGAGAGTTCGAACCATCCCCCCAAATTTGTTTAGAAAATTTTAGGAAGACACAACGAATGACTAATGTAACTTATGTGCAGTTCACGTCTAGATTAACCACGAGTTGGGATTATTATTTGAAACTGAGAAAAGTAAATGACTTTGAAACATCAAAACAATTAATGATTTCTGATAAAATATGTCAAACACTTGATAAAGAGGTTATGTGTTTTATAAATGTAAGGCAAGGAAATTCTTGGTTTAAACCTTAGAATTGGCAAAGATTTATATTATACATCAAAGAGAAAACCTGTAGTGGATAATTCTAGGTTGAGTAATAAAAACAGTTATCCTAAAAATATGTCAAAGGTTTTTCTAACTGATATAAAAAATTCGAAATGTATTTTATCATGCAATGAAATTCATCCTTTGTCCAAATGCCATGTTTATAAAAACATGACAGTTAGGGATAGAGTTGGGCTAGTGAAATCGAATTGTGGATTTGCAAAAAGAAACATCACGTGACACTCCATTTCCTTCACGAACAAAAAATAAACAAAGACATAGTTGCGCAGGTGGTGAGTCATGAAAATAAAAATATTCCTTGGAATTTGGACGCTTCCCTTCAGCCCCATCATTTGAACCTCTGCAAGCTAAAACGAGTACTGATCAAAATCTATTATCAACAACGTGCAATCTTACTCAGAAATAAAAGCTGTCTTACTCAGCACTTTTGTTTGTTTAATTAAAGATGCATTGGGTAACTTTTTTAGGGTTAGAGGTTTGTTAGATGTCGGTGCTAATTCAAATTTTATGAGCAAAAGGTTAGCAGATTTGCTTCAATTAAAGGGAGAAAAGACTAACATTTCTGTTTCAGGAATAAATAATTTGTCTTTGAATATAAAATCTAGAGTTAGTGCAATTATTTTAAATAGAGACAAGAGTTTCGATTTAAGTTTAAATTTTTTGGTGGTCCCTAAAATAACAGAATATATGCCCTCTGGGCCTCTTGAAATTAATGTTTCATCTATCGATAATATCAATTTAGCAGATGAGAAATTTTTTGAGCCAGGCCCAATTGAATTTCTGATAGGTGCAGAACATTTCTATGAGCCTTTAAAACCAGGTCAAATTTCCCTTCAGGATTCAAATTTAAGATTACAAAATAGTGTTTTCGGCTATGTTGTAAGTGGGACTCTTCCTGCTAAAGGGGAAAGTAAATTACATTGTGGGGTTATTACAGATAATTTTGAGTTAGAAAGAGCAGTAAGAAAGTTTTGGGAAATCGAAAATGTAGAAAAAGAGTCTGAGATTTCTAAGAGTAAAGAAGCAGAAATTTGTGAACAGCATTTTCTCAAAAAACTATTCTAGGACTGAAACCGGAAAATATGTAGTCAAGATACCGTTTAAGGAAGATCCAATCTGTTTAGGGAATTCGAAACAAATCGCGCTTAAGAGGTTGAACTCGTTGTGGACTCGTTTAAGTAAGGATGAAAATTACTTATTATTGTACTCTGATTTTCTACATGAATACAGTGAACTAGGTCACATGACTGAAGTGAAAGATAAAGATGAGCAAGAGGGGAAGTATTATATTCCACACCTTGGCATTTATTGCCCTGAGAAAAGTTCGACACCTTTGAGAGTAGTGTTCAATGCTTCAACTTCAACGTCAAAAGGTAACTTTACTGAATTCATTCAGTATAATGGTGGTGTAATACAAGAGGACTTGTTTTTCAATTATGGTACGTTTCCGAAAACATATTTGTGATTTTACAGCGGGTATCAAAAAGATGTACCGAATGATATCGATTCATCCTAGCTCAATGGCAGCTACAGAGAATTTTGTGGAAAGAGTCAATTAATGGTCCAGTTAAATTTTTTGAGTTGAACACGGTCACCTATGGCACAGTAAGTGCACCTTTTGTAGCCATGAGAACATTACGTCAGCTTGCTACAGATGAGTTCACAAATTTTCCTTTAGCAGCTGCAGTTCTACAGAGTGATTTTACATGGATGATGTTCTTACAGGGTACAATTCATTGAGTTCTGCAAAAGAGCTACAGCATGAATTAATTGAGATTTTAAAAAGTGCAACTATGACTCTGCACAAATGGTGTAGCAACAATCCGGAGCTTGCAGTTAACGTTGATGATGAATACACATTTCAGTGTGCGAATGAAGTGTCAGCCCTTGGTGTTTCCTGGAAAGCAGATAAAGATTGTTTTAATTTTAAAGCGAAACTAAAAATGAGTCTAAAATTACTAAAAGGCAAGTTTTGTCAACAATAGTGAGAATCTTTAACCCACTTGGTTTATTGGGTCCCATGATAGCTAAAGCTAAAATATTTCTTCACGTGATAGCTAAAGCTAAAATATTTCTTCAGAGACTATGGGTTTTGAAGCTCAATTGGGACGATCATCTACCTGATAAAGAAGCCAAAGAATGGCAATGGGTTTTCTCTGAACTACCACAAATATGTAAATTAGAAATTAATAGATGCATTCTTGTTGCAGAAGCAATTGTTATTGAGTTACATGGATTTTGTGATGCCTCCGAGTTAGCTTATGGAGCTGTAGTTTATTGTAAATCCATCTCCTAATATGGTGAAGTGGTGATAAGGCTGGTAACAAGTAAATCAAAAGTTTCTCCTATAAAGCAAGTTACTATACCAAGATTAGAGTTATGCGCAGCTGTATTGCTTGCAAAGTTAATGACTCGAGTAATATCTACTCTGAAACTTAATGTGAATAATGTATTTTTCTGGAGTGAGTCTTCGATAGTTTTGGCTTGGCTGAAAAAGGAGCCCTGTTGTATGAAAACGTTTGTTGCTAATCGAGTTGCGGTGGTTCAAGAAATGACGGAGGTGCGACAGTGGCATCACGTCCCATCTAAACAGAACCCTGCGGATCTCATATCAAGAGGTGCTGATCCGGTCAAACTTCAACTGTGTGAACTGTGGTGGAGTGGTCCCCCATTTCTTCTTCAACCTTGATGACTAAGTGCCAAGATGATATCCCTGAGGAGTCCGAAGAACTGTATCTTCGCGAATTAAAACCACCAGCAGTAAGTGAAATATGTGCACTTATTAACACTTATGAGCCATTAGATGTCATCAATAATTGTTCATCTTACAACAAATTGCTAAGAGTAGTGGCTTGGTGCAAGAGATTCTTGCATAACACCAGGCATCCATTGCATGCTACACGCGGAACGTTGACAACCAGTGAACTTTCTAGTGCGTTATTGTGTATTGTGAAAAACGTTCAAAGGACTTCATTTGTGACAGTAATACAGTGCTTAGAAAAGGGTTCTCCTATTCCTAATAGTAGTAAACTATTAAATTTGTGTCCATTTTTAAATCATGATGGAGTACTCAGAGTGGGTGGCAGACTGAAAAACAGTGACTTAAGTGAAATGAGAAAACATCCTATGATTCTGCCAACTAAACATAATTTTACTATAATTGTGATTAATCATTTTCATGTTCTTTATTTTCATGCAGGTGCTGAAACAACCCTATCACTTATAAGGAGTAAATTTTGGATTGTTTCTGCAAGAAATTTAATTAGAAAAATTATATTTAATTGTATGATTTGTAAAAAGGTAAATTCTAGGTCTGTGCAGCAACAGGTGGCTGACTTACCAGCTGCGAGAGTGACTGTATCAAAAGTTTTTGCGAAAACAGGACTCGATTTTCTGTGGTCCATTTCTGGTAAAAAATTTTGTAGGTAGAAGTAAACAGGTAAGAAAAGTATTTGTATGCATTTTTGTATGTTTCACTACGAAGGCCTTGCACTTTGAAATTGTTAATGGTTTAACAAGTGCAGCATTTATAGCAGCACTTAAACGCTTTATTGCCAGGCGAGGTAAACCCTCAGATATTTTCAGTGATAATGGCAGAAATTTTGTGGGTGCTCACAGAGAAATTAAGAGCGATTTTAAATCTTTTATTTAAGGATAAAAGTGAGGAAGAAATCAAAGGTTATTTGGCTACTGAAGGCATAAATTGGCATTTTAATCCTCCCTCTACTCCTCACTTTGGAGGTTTATGGGAAGCTAGTGTGAAATCCATTAAATATCACTTGAAATGTGTGGTGGGAAAAACAATTCTAACTTATGAAGAATTTTTTACTCTGATTGTTCAAATTGAATCTGTACTTATTTCTCGCCCTCTTTGACCCATATCAAATGATCCAAATGATGTAGAGGCATTGACCCCTGCTCACTTTCTTATTGGTTCATCTTTAATTGCATTGCCTGAACCTAATTTTACAGAGATTCCTATACATCAGATAACTAGATGGCAAATGGTTCAAAAATTAAATAAAAATTTTTGGAAAAAATGGTCGTCTGAATATTTAAATAAACTTTTAAATAGACCTAAATGGTATAAAGGAAAAGTAGAAATGAAGGAAGGAGATTTAGTTTTAGTAAAAGATTCGGATAATTACTCTCCTTTAAAGTGGCATTTAGCATGAATTATTAAAACCTATCCAGGTCAAGATAATATTATTCGAGTTGTGACACTTAAAGATAAAAATGGAACCTATAAAAGGCCAATGACAAAAATTGTACCTTTGCCTTTTGTTAATGAAAAAGTTTCAGTTACTTAAATTGTATTTGTAGTTAATTATCCAGTTTGAGTTTGTATAATTGTATAACCATCATTATTATTATCTTGGAGTGTTGTGTTTGTATTTTATAACTTGTGTTCTAAATTTATTGTTGAATGTAACATTTAAGGCCGGGCTGGATGTTGATGCCAAAGGTGCCATCTGTGAAAAATATGTAATATTTGTGTTCTAAAACCCTGATGCTGATTTTTTTATAGCGCCACCTTGCGGCCACTTGTATTGAGTTTTGAGTGTGTTCTGAGACGCCGCCGAGAGATGTGAACTAACTATGCGGCTTTTTGAGTAATTAATAAATTTTAGTATACAGTCCATTTTTGAGTTTTTATGTAAAGTGATTTATTTAATCATGAGTTTTACTGAGCTATTGACGGGCCCATGCTCTTTCATGTCTTCTACACAAGGGACTAATACAACTAACAAATTTTAGCCCAAAAAATGTTATTTTTGAATAATTCTATCATGTGGATAAAAGGAAATTTATCCAATTGATCCAGTTTAAAAATGCAGTAATTAATATTGCATTTTTTTCACTTTGTAACACGATATATTTACCTTTGAATTAAATAAATTGAATATTTATACAAACATACTTTCATTTTTTCTATTCTCAGTACTTTCAATTATGAGCATTATAAATATTTATTAAAATATTTCAAAACAGGTTTTGCTGCATTGTCTTGATTTGTATATTTTTCAAACAAAAAAAAGAAATATGACTTTTATAATACAAGTAATATTACTGTTTTCCAGTCTAAAACACAAATGAAACTTGTATATGGGAATCAATTACATATTTTTAATAACTAATAATAAATTATTGTACTTTGAAAACTGGTAGTCGATTCTTAGGATGATAGCAAGTATAGTTCAGAGGTGATCCATTCCAATCAATTTCAATATTATCCTGAAAAAATATGTACAATCTTAAATTAATTCTAGGTGGAAAAAATAGCAAATAATAACTGAAACTTTAATATAGAAAGAGATTTTAAACTATTTTATATATTAATATTCATATCATCAAACTTTAGCATACCTTAAGATATCCATATTATTTAATTGCATAAATTTTAGTTTGTTGGCAAAAAAATTGTATTTTAAGGAGCGTGTATTATAAAACAGTAATTTTGTTCATATCATTTATGCAAAATTTATTCATCTACCTGCAAATCTTGCTTTCAGAGAAGACTATTCAAACAAAAATTCAAGAATAAATTAATTAACTGAGAAATGTTAAAGATTCTTTTGGTACACTTTGGAAATTACCATATCTGCCGGCTTATAATAAGCACTTTTCCCCTTTGAAAATAGGTCTGAAAAACAGGGTGCGTCTTATACGTCAATACTGCACCTTATATGGGAATACTCAGTTTGATTACATTCATTTCTGGAAATTTCCTTGCTTAAAGGATTATTTACACATTGCTTAAAGGAGTGTTTATACATGTTCATGCAAAATGCTGGATGGATGAAGGAAGAATGAAGTTATAGATAGATAAGTTTGGTTGAGGCGGTATAGTGGTTAGGAAGCCTGACTGTGATACCGAAGGGCCTGGGTTCGAATCCCGGAGAAGGCATAATTGTAACTGTCTGTCCCTTCATAGGAGGCGATGGTGGCTCACCTATTAAGTGGCTCCCTAATAAAGAGACCACCACATTTGGCCCTGTATAAATGAATGGACTGGTTTACAATGTAACTGTTCACAATTTACCACTGGAAAAAAAAAAGTTTGGTCAAGGCGGACTGTTGAAGGAACCTACTAGTATGGGATCAATTTCATTCTCACAGAACAGAGGATGTTAAAAATAAACTCAAAGAATTAAAAACTCAGTTAACTATAATTCCAGGAGGCCTAACTAGTCAGCTTCCAACTTTAGATGTCTGCATTAATAAACCATTTCAGGGATTTATGAAGGAGAAGTGGAACAGCTGCATTTAGTCTTCAAATTTTGAGGTTACACCATTAAGAAGAAGGAAGAGGCCTAGCATTTCGCAAGTTTGTGAATGGGTCAAAGCTTCAATGGATGCGGTGAAAACAGAATTAGTGGTTAAATCATTTAAGAAGTGTGGCATTAGGAGCATGCTGGATAGTACAGAGGACAATTTGTTGTAAGAAGACTAAGATGTTGATTTAGAAGAGGTTTCAAGGCCACTGAGCATTTAGCTCTGGAGATGAGTGCCTGGGTTTTGACAAAGAAGATTAAAAGGTGTTTTTTAGATTAAAGGTGATTAAAAGGTGTATAGATTGGGCATTTTCAGAAAGTATTATTTTGGATTTGAATTACTTTATATTTAAAATACTGTAAATTCATTATAATGATCAGTAATAAAGTTTTATCCTTCAAAAATGTGTACAAAAAAAAGGAGGTGTGTCTTATTACACCGGCAAACACGGTTATATGTTATTTTTATCAAAGGTACTATCAAAGGTTTTTATCAAAGGTGAACATATTTTTATAGGCATAAATATTAATCTTTAAAATATCCTTGTACTGAATACAAATTTTTTACCATTAAATAATTGATTTAAAATCTTATACCAATCTTTTCTCATGTGAAACATCATTCTACCCATACATATACAATACTGCTGCATACTACTAGTTCATAAAAGATCTCTGAGAATAAGATAAACAACAATTTTGAGTATTTAATTAGCACTACCACTAATGCTTGCATATACTAGAAACTGCCATATTTTTAACATATGCCAAAATCTTGCAACCATGTACAAGCCAATTCTTCAGGCAACCATACACATGATAATTTGTTGGTTTTAACAAATAGCATCGCTATTTTTCTAAGTATTCTTTCTGTTGTTCTAAGTTTCAGCAGTTTTTTGTAATATGGTACTATTCGGTTTTGAGGGCCATAAAAAATCGCCAAACTATTGTTGATGCCAATGCTGCCAAAAATAATTGCAAATCTTGCTTTCAGAAATAATTCCTAATGCAAGAAAGGAAGTATAATAGTAAATACCTATTTAAGATTGATGCTTTAATTTAGATGAGAAGTTAATTTCATACAGTACTTTTTTATTATTATATTTATATAAAAAAGACTAACAGAAATGCCTATTTCAGATTTTTATTTTAATTTAGATGAGACGTTAATTCATATAATACAATTTGTATTACTTTATAAAAAAAGGCAAAAATACTGAATTAAACGGGGGGTAATAAAATTTTTATTCTTCCAACATAGCAGAATAAATTTCAGTTTTTTTTGTGCAAACGTCTGTACATAAACTCGGACAAGTAAGAATCAAAATGCTGTGAGCAGTGCCCCGATGGCGTTTATTACCCATTTAGCACTGCCCACAGCCGCTCTACTGTTTGTATATGACCCACTTCTGGTCCACACAATTGTAGTTGTAATTGACAGTAAAATGTTCAAAACCGGCATTTTTCAGTTCATCCGACTTGTATGATTTCCAGAAGTAAGTATAAATTAATGCTTCCTTCTGCGATATTTTCTTTTATGATGTTCAATAAAGTTTTCGCCAATCGTTCTGGAACAGCGATTAAGAAGAACCATTTATTTGATTCTCTGCATAATCTGCCGAAAACACATAGTGGCGGAAGAATGCATCCAACGTTATTCTTTCTTCTACTGAAAAGGACTTTTTTCTACTTCAGTACAGTTTTGGTACAAAACCCATGAACTGCCGATTTTCAAGTTAATAAAATTCACCATTTTAGTAAGCATAAAGTTGTATCACATACCTCACGCATGTAACTGTTCCAGTCAACAGTTGTATTGTGGTTCATCTTCAGCTGAGTTGACAAAATTCAATAGATGTCATCTCCTGACACCAAAAATAGATGAACCTAACGGCTGTAAGGAAGGGGATTTTCGATCCTTCAAACCAATTTTGACTTCTCAATCCTTTCTTCTCATTACAGTTTCTTTCCTGCACCGCCATTTTGTTACCGAGTTATCGCTAAAGCATAATTTCATCTCATGATTGTTTAAATTTAATTTTCTATCATGAATGATGCCCTTTTTTTGGAAAAAATTCTATTGCAGACTTTTCTTCACTCGGCAACTCCCAAATTGTAAAATCCATACCTTTATCAAAAAGAGAATTAAAAAATTACACTAGTATTTCAATAGCGACTTACAAATATAGAACTATCTAAAACTTACGCAATTTGAAATCAGCGCGTTTGCGAGATTTGGCGTGCTGTTTAATGGGCGAGTTTGCTAGATTTGGCGCTTTTGCGCATGCTTTTTCGTTGCAATTTTTTACGGTCCCCGAAACCGAATTATACCTGTAATATTTTTGGTCTTAAAATCAATTTTAAAATATATGCTTGTGAAATCTGCCTGCAGTAGAAAAAAACAGAGGTAAAATTTCTACAGGAATATAACACTTTATAACAAAATTGCTAAAGGGAAAAATGCTGTGAATCTGTTCCTAAAGAAATCACCATGGAATTTCTTGCAGAACAACAGAAACAAAAACTGGCTTGCAAGTAGGTTTATTGATTGATTCCCATGAAAAATAACTAATTAAACAGAAAATACTTGTGGAATTATATGTATGTATATTTTTTGCCATTACACGTCAATATTTTTTTTTTTTTTTTCTTTTATAAAAAAAATCACCAATCTGCTCCAAGGTGGTTACATTAATACATAAGCATCCAATTTCCTGCCAATATTGTATATCAGCTGTGAAAGAAATCACCACAGCTCATCTGATTTGAAGCTCTGGGTTAAAATTAAATTTTCTCTGAAAAACTGCATCAAAGTTGAGTTTTAGTGAGTTGACTTAAAGCAACACTATGAGAATTAGTAATGAGACAAGAGCCAAATATAATAAGGAATTGAGAATAAAAAGCAATGTCATTTTGATGTACATTCTAAATAAAGCTATCAAAATCATGGTGATCACAAATAAGCAATACTTCTTCCCGACAAAAACACCAAAAACAAATTTGTACAATTTTTCTTTTTATTCCTGATGAAAAAAAATCTATATCTGATTACCACAGACACTGATAGAATTCTCTTCAAAATCTAGGCCAAACTGAGGTTGTTTTTTAGATTACTGGGTAGTAATTATATAATGTGTAATACAGTCAAAAGTCGTTAATTCGGACACCCATAATCCGGAATGATCTATAATCCGGACCTCAAAGCTACAAACTTTCTGCGCATGCGTCGCGTTCACGCATGCGCACAGGCGTTTACGAGAGCACATAAGACCTTTACAGCTGCGAATATGTTTGTGCGCATGCGCGTTTAATGTGTAACGGAGTTATACGCTAAGCTAAAGTTATCTAATTCAGTTAATGTTGCAGATTGCGTTGTTCCTTAATCTTCGAATTGGATCCGGCTTATTATTTTTTGCAGACTGTTAGAGCAATTTTATAAAAGTAAGCTTGAACTTTCGATTATGTCAAATAGAATTTCCGATATATATTTACTACAAAGCGAAAGTATGTTTTGAAATCCGAAATCTGTTTATCAATTTCACGCTGCTCTGCGGCAGAGGGGGGGGGGCAGAAATGTCATTATTAGATTATGATAGATTAGAAAGATTATGTCAAATAGAATTTCCGATATATATTTACTAATATGTAATTTGTATCTACAAAGCGAAAGTATGTTTTGAAATCCGAAATCTGTTTATCAATTTCACGCTGGGGATTGGAAGTTGATCTGTCAGCACTATCCTTATCTTCAGAGCAGATGTTTTTATTTATTTGGTTTATAATCCGTACTAAGTGTAGTATTTCATTTTGATATACTCCATCTTGATATGATTTAAATCAAGTTCCTCGTCATTATAATTCGCTTCCGATAGTGAAGAAAGTGACCCAGAGGTTATTGAAAACGAAACAACATTTCGATTGACAAATTAGTCGGTATTCTCAACACAGCATTTATAGGACTTGAACAGCGGAACTTTGTAACTAAACAAGAAATTATGTCTGTTTAATAGAATTAAAGAGAAAGTATTATCACATGAAAAAAAAAACGAAGCAACTTACATTGAAGGAAAATGTTAATAAAGTAAACAAATAAATATTAAGCTTTTTCTTTTTGTAAATTTTGATACCCTTTAGATCATAAGTTGTCTTTATTTCATAAATTACAGTTTCATATTTTTAATTTTGTAATTTCTGCATGCCATCTTACCAGATTTAAAACTGATGATCTATAATCCGGATCGCTGAAGTCCCGACGACGAATAACAACTTTTGACTGTATATCAGTCAAAAGTCGTTAAACGGACTGTCGGGTAACAACCGACAAGTAACAACTTTTGACTGTATATATACAGTCAAAAGTCGTTAATCCGGACTCGTCGGGACTTCGGCGATTCCGGATTATCGATTTTTCCGGATTATAGATCATCAGTTTAAATCTTGTAAGATGGCATGCAGAAATTCTAAAATTAAAAATATGAAACCTTAATTTATGAAATAAAGAACAATTCTAATCTAAAGGGTATCAAAATTTACAAAAAAAAAAGCTTAATATTTATTTGTTTACTTTATTAAACATTTATTTCAATGTAAGTTGTTTTAAGTTGCTTTGTTTTATGTGATAATACTTTCTCTTTAATTCTATAAACAGACACAATTTCTTGTTCAGTTACAAAGTTCCGCTGTTCAAGTCCCGTTAATTGTGTGCCGAGAATACCGACTAACTTGTCATCGAAATTTTTCGTTTTCACTAACCTCTCTGTCACATTCTTCATGTCTTTATCCATTTTCTGCAGCAATTTCACTTTTTGTTTGATGGACATCGAAACATACTTTCGTTTTGTATGATCCTTTGGAAGCTCCAGAATCGGAAATTCTATTTGACATATAATCGAAAGTTCAAGTTTACTTTTATAAAATTGCTCTTACAGTCTGCAAAAAATAATAAGCCAGATCCAATTCGAAGATTAAGGAACAACGCAATCATCAACATTAACTGAAATAGATAATTAGATAATTTTAGATTATACCGTCTATTATACATAAAACGTGCACGCAAAAACGTATTCTGCGCTTGCGCACACGCATATGCGCAGTGGTAAAAGGTCTTACGCGCATGCGTAAACGCCTATGCGCATGTGTCAACGCAGCGCATGCGGAGAAAGTTTTTAGCTTTGAGGTCTGGATTATAGATCATTCCGGATTATGGGTGTCCAAATTAACGACTTTTGACTGTACTAGATAGAAAGTTATGAGGCACAGATTAAAATTTTTGAGTGCCGTATTTATCTTCCAGTTTGAAGATAAGGAATCATTATATGAAATTTAAGGAATAAATTACATTACAGCATTTCTTAATCATAAAATTTTGTTGTGTGATGATTACATAAAATCTTTTATTTGACTTTAGACAGATCTTAAACTTTCAGTTATAAACAAACCATGCCATGTTAACTTGTAGGCACTAAGAACCCTGCCTCTGGGAGACTTACAGATATAATGCCCATATTTTAGAAAAACTGTTTTTTTTTAGTGAGCTGATGTAAGCAAAAATTTCAGAGCACTGCTCATAATTCTGCCAAAACAGCTTTATACATTCGAATATTTGAATGTCAAGTTTCAAAGTTTGTAGCACTGTACCTATTCTGTTATTAATGAGAGAAAAAATTAAAAAAAAAGATTTAATTATTATAATTAACATTTAATAATTCTAATATAAATTGCTTACTTTTGCATTATCACAAATGTCCGATGAAATACCCATTCTTACACCATGAATTGAATCTCTCATATTATTTGGCATTCCTCTCATGCTTCCTTTTCCAGTCACATCTCGTTTCATATATTTATCACTGTCACTATTAAGAAAATATTTTTTAAAAAATGCACTTTACTTTTCAAAAAGCAGATAAAAATGATTTAAAATCAAAATTTATATTTACTTGATTTCAAACACTGGAAATCCATGAGAAATGACACCTACATCAAAAGCACTAACATGGGATAAGAACAAACTTCCAATGATCAGGAAACCCATCACAGAACAAAGCAGCATCTATATATGAAATTGAATCCCTTATTCAAATTAATAACTTAAATTATAAAAATATTCCCATATTAATATGGATTAACCTTTCACATAATAGTGTTAACATTTCATTTTTTTTTTTAAATCTAAAACACTAAAAACCATAAGCAAATTTTAGCTACTTAATCAGAAAATTCATAAGCTACTTTTAGAAGGTCGCTATCCATCCCATTTTTTTCCATCATTATCTATTTATAGAAAAAATCAAAGAGCAAAGAAGGGGAAGAAATTTATTTCATTACTCCTAGCCATATTTCTTTTGATAACATGCACATTAGATTAACTCTTTCTAGAATGAATTAATCCGTATTGTACATCTATATATCTAACTTCTAGAATTTCAATGAATAACTATAAAATAATTATTTTAAATTTTTTTTATTTTCTGTAGCTCTCACATCAAGAAATTTTTAAGCACAGAAATGTCTGAAACACTCTTTAAATAAATAAAAATTTATCATTACTTTGCTTAAATGAGTTTTTGAAAAACTTATAAATTAGTTAATGTAACCATAGCATAACAAAGGCGATTATAAATATTCTAATAAATATTTTCTTACCTGAAAAATATTAGTAGAGAAATAGTTACTCCTCAGAAAACCTTTTTTGAAAGTGGTCCTCTTTAAATCAAACAGCATTTATATTCTTTGCTATAATATCTTACCAACTTATGTTTATCTAAAATGCCTACCTTCATACTTTTTTCTGATTTAAATTACTTTACCAGAAAAATTTCATGGTATTTAAATTCTTCCTCTTTTAAAAAAGTTTTACGTTTCATATAATTTTAATAAATTATATAATTACTACCCAGTATATCAAAAGCTGAACTATGTATTTAAATGAACATAAATTAAATATGAATGTAAACTACATGAATATTTAAATGAAACATATCTCAATAAAGTATTAAAATGTTTACAAACTAAAGATTCATTATTTAAATTTAAAAAAAGCTGTTTTAGAGAAAAAGTATTTTTTTGGATTGAAAGATAAACATACACAAACAGCTGAGCATCAAGACTTAACAGCTTATTACACTAATGAAGCTTTAATATAATCAGTACAGTTTCTACTCCTATACTTTGTATACAATTCATGTTACATCAGTAGCAAAAATATCAGAAATATGTACTGAAATGAATATTAGTATTTTTTATTCTTCTACATCACGGCATAAAATATTTTTAAGTTATTTTATTTTTGTGGATAACTTCTAAGTACAGGAAAAAACATAACGTTTTATATTTAGTGATATGTTCATCATTTAGCTATTGAGAAATCAATATATAAATTAGTATTGTATTTATATATTGATTTCTCGCTCTTAAATTATTTCTTACCACTGTAGCTATATTCACTAACACTTAATTATATCTATTAGTGAACATACCTTCACGTTATTATAGATTCTGATAATTATTTAAAATAATTGTTACTAATATTTGGTGCAGAGTATGGTAATAGCAAACACTTAGTTAGTTTCCATGATTGATAACCGATTTTCTGTCTACAAACTTATTAAAGCCTAAAACAACCTCATACATGAGTCTCATAATCTTAGATATTTATCATTAATACTTTCATTAAACCAATTTAACTGTCTCTTACAATGAAGAGGAAATTACAAGAGGCAACATACCTTAAAAGGAAACTTTACTTCCCAATTTCATGGTTTTGTTACTTTCAAATCCCCCCTCCCCACTTTTTTTTGCCCCCAAATATATATTTTCATTAAACATATCCAAAAAAGATAAGGAAATAAATGTTGTACGGGAAGTAAAAAAGTTAAGCAATTTTAATGGGAATTCATATAATAAAAGATGTAGCTTACACATAAATATTCAAAAATCTATTGAATAGTAGTGATTGGGGAAAGTGCAGAATCACCCATTGCTTGGCATGTTTTTAAGAATTGCAAATACTCAGTATCCATGTACACATCAACCTATTTTCACTTGAAAAAACATCTCAGAATTGCACAAAAATGGCACTGTGACCCTTGACTTTATCAATGTACACCACATCAATTTACTTTCACTTAAAAAGTCAACAAAACTTTCACTTAAAAAGTCAAAGAAAATTGACAAAAATCCTTCTTACTCTTGTAAAAAGCGCCAAAAAAATAAGTGGGTGATTCTGCACTTTACCCGTAGTGGTGATTTATAAAATATATTTTAAAATATTTTAAGCAGTTTATAAAGCATTAAATAAAAAAAATGTATACAAAATAAAAGCATAAAGACAGTCTTTTTGGTATTTTCTATACCATTTTTGATATAATAAAAAAATTTTTAAAAAAACTAGAGCAGCAGTAATTTTACAGTTTAAATTTTCTACATATTTCAAACTTAAGTTTTAGACACAATACATAGACAAACATGAAAGCTTAAATGTTCCCAATGTGCATGACAATTACAGAAGAAATACATTTCTGAATAACTCAGAATATAGAATAACAATGCAAGATGCATTCCATAACTCAACTGAGATACAACCATATGTTTCCCAAACAGGTTGCACTCAGTATTTGCTATTACCATACTCTGCACCAAATATTAGTAACAATTATTTTAAATAATTATCAGAATCTATAATAACGTGAAGGTATGTTCACTAATAGATATAATTAAGTGTTAGTGAATATAGCTACAGTGGTAAGAAATAATTTAAGAGCGAGAAATCAATATATAAATACAATACTAATTTTAATACATTAAAAAACATTTTTAAACGAAATAGAGAAAGGGGAAGGGGTGTAAAGACAAAAAAATTAAATGAAACAATAAAGATAACCCTTAGAATATATGGTCGCTCTACACAAATGTTATATTATTCCATCAGATGATCAAAGGAAACATTTCACGTATTTACTGTAATACTTTCTATTGCACATTCAATCCCTACCTTTATGAATAACAACTATTGTGTTGAAAATTAATTAATCATCTTTCGTATAAATCATCATGCGCAAAATTTAAGAAATAAAATATCGAGTTTCACGTTAAAATGAACAAAATGGGTAAGAAAATCGAAAGGTAAAATCGCGACAGCAAGACTACACAATGCCGTTAAAGTACAGGGATTTGGCAACTTACTTTGACATAATTTAAAGAGTCACACACTACAGCAAACAATATCAAACATGACTACAAAAGCTCTTAATGAAATCAGCATACGCTCCGTGTCGTTTCAACCCTTTCATTGCGCATGGCCATTGACCAGAATTTTACGTCGAGCGGGCTTTCTACTTCATATACTTTAAATTCACATATTATGCTTGAATTTACGATAGTCAGAAATCAAGAATAAAAACTAAAAACGAAACCTTAAGAGGATAAAGTTGTGCTCAGATGCCTTTATTTTAATAACATTCAAATTCCCGCTTCAAAACTGGATGAGATAATCATAAGCAAATAAATTTATCTGTCCGGTAAAACTGTTAAAATTTTTGGTTGTTTCTATGATTATACCACTGAATATTTTCAAAAGTAAATAAATAAAATGAAATAATGAACGAATAAGTGAATGAATGATAAGTAAACAAACTGCATTTTTTAAAACTTAAATGATAAAATAAAACTTAAAAATTAGTTGCTCAGGAATAGACAAATATGAAAAGAAAAATATGGAGACCATTACCACTGGATCATGATTTACGAAAAGACTTGAATAGAAGATAAATAAGTCGTCAAAAGGTTTGACGTAATTGATTCTTTGCCTCAGAAAAAGTATTCAAGGACATATTTATTACCATAATCTGTAAGCCAACAGGCACGTATCTGAATAATGTAATAGATTTCAGCAGAATTAAGGAAAATTTTATACTTGTCGCTATCAGAAATGACCCTTTATATTTTAGAGAATCAAAGAAAAGTTGATACTTGTCACTATGCAAAAAGACGCTTTATTACTGGACATGGAATCAAAATTTAAAGATCGAATAATGTTGGTTGAACAAAGCTTAGAAAAATGATAGATTTATTAGTGTTACATGAAGTTGCATAAGAGTGATTTGTTGCAGTCTTCTAAACCAATTGCTGTAAGCTTTTGTATATAAAAAGATCAGTTTAACACAAAAATTGACTAGTTTTTTTAAGGCTTGAACTTGTGGTGATGGGCGATAAGGAGCGCGCCTTGCGCCCTCCGATAAGTGTGGCAACCCTAGAGGAGAAGTTTCTTACGAGTAGCGAGCAGAGCGAAACAGGCAGGCTGTCGGGGAGTATGCGCGATGTTCCTAAATAAAGTTTAATTTTTATTGTGCACTATGTCTTGTTAATATTTATATTAATGCAGTAAGAACATAATCTGTGATATGGAATTCGAGGATTGGTGGTAAAAACATAACCGGAAATCTCCATAATGGTAACCCGGACTGTGTTAAATCGTATGAACAGTTCTCAAGCACTTTCGGTTTTGACTACAAGCCATCACTCAAGATCTCCAAACCAGAAGTAATGGATTACATCGGTTTTCGTCCTCCGGATCACAGATGAGTAGTAATTATAGATCATTTTATAATTCTGTTTTCTACTTATCATTTAATTTCATTTTCTTTAGTTAAATTTTTGCTTTTATTTTGGCTTAAAAACCTTGCACAATGTCTGATGTTCATGCCGTCCAAATTCCGGTTTATAACCGATCAGACCCATCTTTATGGTTTATTATGTGTGAAAGTACTTTTGCTCTTGCCACCCCCAAACCTATCACAGAATCCATTACTAAATATAATTATGTAGTTTCTCATCTTCCTCCAGATATCGCATCACTAGTACGGGATTTACTTATGAAACCAGACCCTATTGATCCATATGCAAAGCTTAAAACTGAGTTAATAAATCGTTCAGGAGAATCTTCTCAGCAAGAAATTCGCCAATTATTATCTGGAGAAGAATTAGGTTCTCGAAAACCTTCCGATTTGCTTAGAAATATGAAACGTCGAGCAGAATCTTTAAATGTTCCTGATAACTTAATGTTAGAATTATTCCTTCAACGTTTGCCTTCGACTGTTCAGTCTATTTTGGCAGCGGTTTCCAATTTAACTGTAGATAAAGCTGCAGAAATTGCCGACAGAATTTTAGAAGTAAATCCAACCCCAGGGACTTGTGCCGTTTCTCGCACAGTCGATCAGTCTCTTGAGGATAAATTATTTAAACAAATAGAAAAATTAAACAAACGTATTGATCGCATTTCTCTTTCTCGTGGTCGCTCGCCAAATCGCGGAGATCGCAATAAGGAAAGAAGCAATTCCAAAAGGAGAGATTATTCTGTTTGCTGGTATCATAGACGTTTTGGGAAAAAGTGTAGAGATGACAAATGTACAAAACCTTGTTCATGGCAGGGAAACGAAACCAGCAAAGAATAGAGGCGACTTATTCTTTGCCTCAAGTTTCACGTCGCCTGTTCGTTCGTGACCGTAGAACAAACCTTTCATTCTTGGTCGATACCGGCTCTGACGTGTCCTTACTTCCAGCAAATAATTCTCAAAAACGGAATTCGTCCCAACAAACACTTTTCGCTGCTAATTCTTCTACTATTCATGTTTATGGTCAAAAAAACACTTTCTTTGGATTTCAAATTAAGACGACAGTTTACATGGACTTTTCTTATAGCAAATGTTAGTACACCCATTCTTGGAGCAGATTTTCTCCATTTCTTTGAATTGGTGCCTGATCTCAGAAACAAATGTCTCAAAGATTTAAAAAACGCATTTTAAAACCGTCGGTTGCGTGAAAAATGCAAGCATTTATTCAGTAAAAACTGTATTTAGTGATACACCATATCACAAAATTTTAAAAGAATTTCCTTCAGTTACTAGATTACCAGATCCTAACCAACCTGTTAAACACAACACCGTTCATTATATCATAACTAAAGGTCCACCTGTGGTTGCAAAACCTCGTCGGTTAGCTCCAGATCGCTTAAAAATAGCAAAACAAGAATTTCAAACTATGATGCAATTGGGGCATTTGAGACCTTCGAGCAGCAATTATGCATCCCCACTTCACATGGTTCCAAAAAAGGGAAGTCTGGAATGGAGACCTGTAGGAGATTATCGAGCATTGAACGCTCAAACAATAAAAGACAAATACCCTATTCCATGTTTAGCCGATTTTACTGCTGCATTGCACGGTACTAAAATTTTTAGTCATGTCGACCTGATTAAGGCATACCATCAAATACCAATTAACCCAGCCGACATCCACAAAACCGCCATATGCACACCATTCGGTTTATTCGAAAGTACCCGTATGCAATTCGGCTTATGCAATGCATCTGCGACTTTTCAACGTTTTATAGATGAAGTCACGCGGGATTTAGAAGGTGTTTACGCTTTCGTCGATGACTTGCTCATAGCCTCTAAAGATTCTGAGGAACATTGCAGGCATTTGAAAGCTTTATTTTCCAAACTTCAGGAATATGGACTTTGCATAAATGTTTCAAAATGCACCTTTGGTCAAACGTCTATTGATTTCTTAGGTTTTCACCTTAGTGAAAACGGAATTGAACCTCTTCCTGACAAAGTCAAATGTATTTTAGATTTTCCTCAACCTACCACTCTCACTCAGCTTCGCCGATTTTTAGGCATGTTTAACTTTTATAGATGTTTCATACCTAAAGCAGCACATATTCTTTCTCCTTTAATAAAATTGTTAGAAGGCTATATTAATAAAAAGAAATCTCGTTCTCGTGTTCAGGATTCATCCCCACAATTAAATTGGAACGAGAATGCTGAACAAGCCTTTATTGCTGCCAAAAATGCCATTGCTCAGGCTACCCTTTTGAGACACCCTATTCCCGGAGCCCAGCTAAGCATCTGGGTAGATGCCTCAGACGTCGCAATCGGCGGCACACTTATGCAGTTGTCTCAACAAACATGGGAACCTATAGCATTTTTCTCTATGAAACTCAATAAAAGTCAACAGAAATGGTCCGCGTACGATAGGGAATTATTTTCTATTTATTCTGCAATTAAGAAATTCCGACACATGTTAGAGGGCAGAAATTTTATAATTTATACGGATCAAAAACCGTTAATATACGCTTTTAAACAGAACCCTCATAAATGTTCACCTCGACAATTGCGCCATTTAGATTTTATTTCTCAGTACTCTACTGATATTAGGCATGTGCAAGGTTCAAAAAACGTCGTTGCTGACGCTCTTTCAAGAATCGAAATTGATTCCATAACAAAATCTCCATTTTTTGGATTTTAAAAAATTTTCGGAAGCTCAACGGCATGATCCGGAGGTACAAGACCTTCTCAAAAACAACACATCATCTTTGAAACTGGAATTTAAACCGTGCCAATATTCTGATGGTAATATTCTTTGTGACATATCAACGGACATTCCTCGTCCATTTGTTCCGAATTCCTTTCGCAGACTCATCTTTAATCATCTGCATAATCTGTCACATCCAGGAATTGCAGCTACTACGAAGCTTATTTGTTCTCGTTATGTATGGCCCGATATGAAACGTCATATCAAAAATTGGGTGAAATCCTGTGAATCTTGCCAAAAATCGAAAATTACTAGGCATACTAAAGCACCACTGGGCACATTCTCTCTTCCTGATGCACGTTTTTCAGAAATCCATATGGATATCGTCGGACCGTTACCTCCATCAGAAGGCAATGTGTACCTTTTGACTCTAATAGATAGATTCTCCAGATGGCCTGAAGCCATTCCCATCCCGGATATGAAAACGGAAACCATTTGCAGAGCCATCTTCAACTGTTGGATATCTCGTTTTGGCTGCCCATCGATCATAACAACAGACCAAGGTTCTCAAATGAGATCCGCACTTTTTGCAGAATTCACGCGCATTTTGGGTACGAACAGAATCACAACAACAGCCTATCATCCAATGTCCAAACGGCATTGTTGAACGATTTCATCGACATTTAAAATCTTCTCTCAAGGCTCACGAGACCAATAACTGGACTGAAACACTACCAGTTGTTATGCTTGGTATTCGGACAGCCGTAAAGGAAGATCTACAGTCATCTTGTGCTGAACTGGTGTACGGCACAACTCTCAAGCTGCCTAGTGATATGATAACGTCATCTAAGATATCTCCGTATGACACACAATTTATCACGAATCTTAGGCATAGAATGCAACAGTTGAATCCAATAGCAACATCTGCACATTGCCAAGAAAAATGTTACGTAAGTGCTACCTTAAAGTCGTGTACGCATGTATACTTACGTGTCGATCGAGTAAAGCCACCTCTGTGCCAACCATATACACAGGTCCGCATAAAGTCCTTTCTAGAACGGACAAAACTTTCACAATTGATATTAACGGTCTGAAATCTACTGTGTCTATAGACCGTGTGAAACCAGCCTATTTGCTTTCGGACTCTAA